CATCCAGTACCCTGGGCCTCATGCATGAGTCATACTGCCTTTGCAAAGCCACACAACACAGAGTCCAATCACAAGCACGATTTTGTGGTCACTGCTTTTTCCTTCCCCTTTCCTACCCAGAGTCAAGTTATGTACTCCCTCTGCCTGAATCCTGGTAATATAACCATAAGGCTTTAACTTGCTCAAAAAGACTTACGGTGAGAGCCAAACTGAATTAACTTTATATGCAAATTTTACCATAAGGATCCTGTATATACATTTGGTCTTAATTTTCCTTCAGATTACACAAAGGAAGAATTAGTTCAGTTACATAAAGAAATCACCTGACAGCGGACTTTTATAGTTCAGGTCTTCCAGAGGTAGAGGCACATCTTTCAGGACCTTAAGAAGTCCCAAACTAGAATTAAGGTTGGCAACACTCAAAGAATCTTACGGAATTAGGTCATCATAGGAGAACTCCTACAATACAGCTGTATTTTATTCTTGGAGCTTTAAAAACATCTTAATTTGCTATGAATATTTTGGATTAAAAGAAATTCCTGTCAGAGTGAATTGCATCTCTAACTGGACATACATCACATTGTTCTCAAAGGTGAACTTTTCCAAACATATTAAATATTTGGTTGCTAAGGAATGTACTGCTTGGGGTGCTTTGAGTTGTGAACACCAAAGAAATGTGTTTAAGTGGATTTAGTCTATGTTGGCAAGATGCCACATATTCAGAATTAGGAACTAACAAGAGCCTAAAATAACCCCCTACTGATTTAGAGCACGGAATTAGCATTTGAACTTTGAAACAAAATGGAGCAAGTTCCATTTCACGGGACAGTGTGGAGTCTCTCTGCAATTTGGAATTTGAGAGTCCTGGCCTGCATTCCTGGCCAGTCGCTTCAGCTCTCTCTATTCCAGCGTCCTTATTTGTAAAATGGGTGTGGCGGTGGGACTAGATGACTCTAAAACCAAGGTATAATCCAATCATAAGGATCACAATTTCTTCTGCAAAAAGAGGGCTTATACCGATTAGGATGGGAAAATGATTCCAAGCTTTGGGCCACTAACATTAAAAGGAACAGCTTTAGACTATAAAGGAAGAAGAAAAAACCCTGAAGACACTCAGGTAAAAAAGACATTAGTTTCGCTGTTTTGTTTTTGCTTTTGATGACAGCCGATAAAATGATGTTCACAGGACAGGGTTTGCTTTTGCTGTGAAAGGCAACCAACATTCCAACTGCAGCAATGACGTTCAAGAAAAATGCATTCCCTGGGCTAAATCTAGAAGTCATTGCAGACCTGGGACATCACTGAGTGGAGGCTTCTCTCAGATGCCGAAAGCCCCGCTTCCTCCTAGAATCATGGCAACATGCCGTACAGGGTTGCCTGAGACCTATCCTAAAAACTATCCTCTTTGTCACGTTTCCTGTGATTTAATATTAATGAACCACATGAATTTATTTTCGTTGGCTCTCAGGAAATCAATACTGGAGATATGACAGTGACAAGGACCAGGCCCTCACAGAAGATGAACAAGGAAAAAGCTATCCCAAGTTGATATCCGAAGGATTTCCTGGCATCCCAAGCCCCCTAGACACAGCCTTTTATGACCGAAGAAAGAAGTTAATTTACTTCTTCAAGGAGTCCCTTGTAAGTAAAGGCTCTTCAGCCTAACATTGCTTCTGTCATCCCAAATAGAGATTTGTCAGATGACCAAGTGCCTATTTAAAAGCTGTGCTTGGCCTGGCACAGCGGCTCACGCCTGTAATCCCAGCACTTGGGGAGGACGAGGCAGGTCGCTTAGCTCAGGAGTTTGAAACCAGTCCGGGAAACAAAGTGAAACCCATGTTTTGGTCTCAACAAAAAATACAGAAATTATCCAGGTGTAGTGGCACATGCCTGTGGTCCCAGCTGCCTGGGAGGCCGAGGCAAGAGGATCACTTGAGCCTGGGAGGTCGAGGCTGCAGTGAGCTGTGACTGCACCACTGCACTACAGTCCAGCCCGGGCAAGAGCGAGACCGGTCCCCCCGAAAAAGAAAAAACAAAAAACCTGTACTCACGTCAGATCTAAATAGCAATGGCAGAGCATCGCAGATGGAAAATTTGGATGTTCAAGTCTAAAGAATTTGGTACAAAATCTGAGTTACTTATCTCATTGTTATAAATTAACCTAAAATATGAGTAATTTTCAGAAGAGCCAGTCTATCTAATTTGCTTTGCAGGTATTTGCATTTGATGTCAACAGAAATCAAGTACTTAATTCTTATCCAAAGAAGATGACTGAAGTTTTTCCAGCAGTAATACCACAAAACCATCCTTTTCGAAATATAGATTCTGCTTATTACTCCTATGCATACAACTCCATTTTCTTTTTCAAAGGCAATGCATACTGGAAAGTCGTTAATGACAGAGACAAACAACAGAATTCCTGGCTTCCTACTGATGGCTTATTTCCAAAAAAGTTCATTTCAGAGAAGTGGTTTGATGTTTGTGATGTCCATATCTCCACACTGAACATGTAATGAGAGAAAATGGAAAATGGAGATTCAAGTCATAGGACTTCACTAAGAGAAAAATTCTGATATTGCTTATAAAGAAAGCCAGATTTTCAGTAGCTGAGGCAAATGTGGCTCTGTAAGTTAAAACCCAATGGAAAAAGCCTTAGTTGAACTTTTAAAATACTTGATTTAAAAATCAGTTGCTCAGGTAAAACATAATTCATAACCTAGAAAGGTTAAAAACAAAACAAAAAACAAAACTAAGCACCCAAAGATCTTTGTCCGCGTTCTGCTCTGTGGGGCTCTGCCCATCCCAACTGCTTGCCCACCTGATTTATGGGAGTTGGAAAGGTGACCAGAGCCATGGGTCAAGCTATCAAGGAAGGAGACGCCATGGGTATGATCTTACTGAGGGATTTGATTGGAAAGGTCATGGAATTCAAATGAATTGCACTCCAAAGTCCCTGTCAGAATGACATTTCTCTAATGACAGTATATAAAAGGCTTTCAAGTCTATTTCTCTCTTGATCTTCACAACTCTGTCAGTGCGGCAGGATGGATACTATCGTACACATTTCCAGTCATATTGACCAAAGTTCATCTGCTGTATCCGGCCAAAAGTCAAACGCGGTGGCAGCTCTGGGCCCTCATCTCCAAATCCCAGCCCAGGGTCCTCTGCACCATCGTGTTTGAACAAACAGGCCTGCAACCCAAATGGTCCTGAACAGAACAACTCTTCTGGTTCACTGTAATTCACTTAGTGTTCTCTCCTGGCACTTTATATGACAGTTTACTTAGGTTCTAAAGACCAGACTACCAAAAGGAGACTCTTGAAGCTAGTTGGATAATTTTATTTTTCCAGTATCAGTTATATCCAGGATAGGCATATGTCCCTTCAACTTTTACATAATACAGCTATTAACTCTTAACCCGAACGAAACCCGATGTCATTCGTAACGAAGTGAACAAATCTGGGCAATGAAATGAACTAAAATGGTTTCAGTAGCCTCAATGATCAGGCCACAAATACCAAATTTCTTCTTCTAAAGAACAGCTAACACACAGGTAGGTTAAAAATAGCAAATTACAAATATATGTTTTAAGGATCTTTGTCTCCCTGTAGGAACTTTCATGTTACTGCTTTGACAAAGGAAGATGGCTATAATTTATACTTACATAAGAACAAATTTTCCTCTTGACTGAAAGGCTGTTTCAGCCAAGGAGAGGGGCTGGGAGAAAAGATAAGCAACTCTCATACCTCTAACCCAGCTCATTCCTACTAAGTAGAACATCCCTTTGAATTCATTAACTCAAAAGATGACATATCATCTTGGATTATAACCAACAGAAGTGTCTAGGTTTATCCAGCAGGGCAAAGACAGTTTTATTATGTGTGCACACTTGCTACAAGGGGAAACCGAATGACAGTGGTCCTGAAATGGAATATTGCTGAATTTGTACAACTGTTTTACAATGTAGGAAAAACTTGAAATGTTTCAGTGATTAATTTTTGCAAACTGATGCAAATCTGTTCCAAGGAAAATGCAAACTAAGTAAACAACACCTAAGTGGACAAATGGCGAGAGAGAATTCTGCTAAGCTCTGATGGATGTTAACTCACTGTCAATGGGCTGGGTATGGTGGCTCACGCCTGTAACCCCAGCACTTTGGGAGGCTGAGGCAGGTGGATCCCTCGAGCTCAGGAGTTGGAGACGACCCTGGGCAACCTGGCAAAACTCCGTCTCTAGTAAAAATGCAAAAAATTAACCAGGCACTGGGGTGCGTGCCTGTAGTCCCAGCTACATGGGAGGGTGAGGTGGGAAGATCCCTTGAACCTGTGAGGCAGAGGTTGCAGTGAGCTGAGATTCTGCCACTGTACTCCAGCCTGGGTGACAGTGAGACCCTGTCTCAAAACAAAAAAATCTCGGCCAATGAAAACACCTGGAAATCTCTGTAAAAGAGAAAGAAGCCTCTTTTACATCATAGCTCAGTAAAAATTTGGCGTAAAACCAGTTATTCCAGACAATTTCCTAGTATAGTTGGAATGCCTTCAGAGGTGTAGTCAGTGCGGAGGGGCTAATGGCCACTGTGGAGGGCCCGCACAACTCACCTCAGCTACCTACGGGCCTGCAGGGGGCTGGCTGGATCTCCAGCGCACCTGCCCCCAGGCCTAGGCAGCACACCTACCCACAGTGGCATCATGCACAGGACTCCAGACCTTTACCTCACCTTGAAAGAGCCTGTTTTCCATGTTACACTGCCTTGAAATTGAAAATATGAATTATGAACAAAGACAGCCTTGTGCACTGTAGCCATTGCAAATAATAGGGGATGCTTGTGTGTAACAACAAGAGCTGTTCAGCGGCAGTAATAAGGAAAATATTCTCGGGAAATTTAGTGGACAGCAGAATGTTAATGTTAATGTTTTGAGCTTGACTTTGTAAAGTTTATTAATTAGACTGAGTTCACATCAAAACTCAAGGTGAAGAATGGAAACTGGAAAAATACAAAGACATTTTAAATAAATAGTTTATTTATTCAAAATAGTTTTCTTACCTTATTCACAGTTTCAAGTTTAAAATGAAAAAAAGGGATAGTACCTATTCTTGATCAACTGTCATATAAAGTCAAAAGTGAACCCTTCAGAACATGCATTAAATACAGCAAACTGCACAACAGCTAGTCTTGGAACAATCCTGCACTGAAGCTTATAAAGAACGCAACTTTTTTCTGTGCAATTTAAAAGAAAACGCTGTAGACGTACAGAAGTCTCCTTAACCCACTTAAACCTGTAATATCATTTGGATAAAAGTTCTCTTGACCAAAGTAACATTTTATCCAAAACAGTATTTTAGACCCATGTAGCTTGACATACTTTGAAAATATGTGAACGTGTAACTGCATCACAGCAAGTCTATTAATACTGAGGTACTATGTACTTCTCAAAGAAATAAACAGTGGAAGCTTTAAGGTGGATTCTGATGTCAGCACGTCAAGTGAAGAAGCCACAGAACTCAACTGTAATTTGTCTGTCACTTAAGATAACTCTGTGTTTCCACTGATATGCCTGTTTTAAATGGATATTTTCCTATTGTTTAATGGAACAAAGCACCAAATGAACAAACCGGCTCCGAGTTGAAGGCACTGACAGCGTGTCTGGGACGCGGCTCTGTGCAGTCACTGAATGGTGCTGCTGCTTGCTGCACTGCCGGCAGTGGCAAGCTGGCCCAGCAGGTGGACGATAACATTGATTCTTTCCAGAAGAGTCGCAGTTTTGTTTGCAGTCGCTCTCAAAAGCTGGGAGTAAATGTGCTTGTTGGTTTTGAGAACTGTGTCTTCTTCAATGTTATTGCTAGGGTTAAAAAAGAAAAAGAGACAGGTAAGGGACCACCAATGCCTCCCGACAATTCAGAGGTCCAGAACACTGGCCAGCGACAGCCCAACAGTCACTCTTCACAGAGCAGCAGGGCTCCACTCCTGTCGAGTTCAGACCTGCCTTCTTTTATCTATTGCTCACAGGCCTGTTTCTAGACATTGATTTCAATACATCACTGAAATCCAGCACTCGTACCTTTTATAAATATTTGAATGCCTATTATGTACCAGGAACTGCTCTTGACAGAGAACAAAACAGGCAGAAAGAAGCCCCTGCCTTCATGGAATCTGTGTTCTATTGAAGTAGGAGTTTGTGGGAGGGGAGTGGAAGCACCAGGGGAGACCACAGTGAACAAGAATGTGATAGAGAGCATGAAGAAAATGCAGTGGAGCTGGGCGGGCGAGGGCAGAGGGAGCTATGCAGTATCTCCTCCGTTCCTCCAGCTCGGCCCAAAGCGCCATCCTGTGTCACACGCACACATCTAAAGCCACTGTTGCACTGCTGTCTCTAGAGCTAGAACTACCTAGGATTTAAACACGGATTCCTGACTGACAAGAACTGCATCTCAATTTACCCTAAAAATGTTAGTGCCGTTCTGTATGAAGAATGCCCCTCAGCTGAAGAGTACTAGACAGTACTCTACTTTAAAACTATTTCACTTTACAGTTGATCTTGAAAATATTTACCCCTTACGATGGATGGGTGAATTCTATTTCTGTTACTACTGGAAAGGACTAGTAATTAATTACATGGCAGTTCATACCTAGCATTTTTTAAAAAAATGAGTCCAGGTTAAAGACCCCTGGCTCACATAACCAGGTAACAGATAACAATTCCACAACTCTTTACAGTGTCCATGACCACATCTGAGCCTTACAATAATCCCATCTCCTCAGATAGGCAAGGACTAGCATTTTTATTTTACAGACGTAAAACCTAAGGCCCAGAAGGGTTGATAGTTTGGATTAAGGTCAAAATGTCATGTTTTCCAATTTCAAATGCTATGCACTTTCACCTCTTTGGGGCACAAAATTTCTCCCTTCACCCAAGAGCTTGCCAGTCAGGCCTGCTAGAGAGCAGCCAACAGTGCCAGCAGTGCACAGCTCCCCTCCCCCAGAAGTTCCCCTTTCTTTCATTCCTGGCTCCATCCCTCCTCCACAGGAGCTCCCCGCAATTCCCACTTCTTTTATCAGGCAAATCTCCTCCTGCCTTCCCCCAACAGCCACAGCACAGCAAAACCGACTGTTCCAAATGCATTCCCTATCTGTAATCTGTGCCTAAGATCAGCTATATTTTAGTTTTGGGGGAGAGTTAACAGTCACAGAACCCTTTAATAACCTTATAGAAAATTTAAATTACTCTGACAGTAAATCAAGGCAATAGCACTGAATATAGAAAAGGCATTTGAAAGATGAATTATTCTTTGTGGACAATGACCTCACACTGCCATTTTACTACTAGTTGGGCATCTAAAGGTAACTGGTGGCTGCAGGGATTACAAACGTAAAATCTTTTGATTCCTAATAAAACTTTTAAATAATAAAATAAATAAAATAAAATAAATAATAAAAATGAATCTTAAATCTTCATCTTTCAATTTCCAACTTCTACAAATTTCTACAAATCATGCTTTCCTTAATGAATTATTATCAGTAGTCTCATGACCTATGACCCCTATACAGAGGGCTCCATCATTTCATCATTTTATCTCCCTTTTCACTAATCTTAACCAAATATTAAATGTACACATTTAAATGGGAACAACCCATAAATCTAAAAGATTTGTTCTTGGCCCTGCAGCAGAGAGCTCCCTGAATCTTCAGAGATTACTTCTACTTCTTAGTTTTTCTTTATATTAAGTCCCAAAGCCACCAAAATGTCAAGAGGCCTGGATCTGTGAAAGCAATGAGTATTAAAATACAGCAGAAAAGTAAATTCTAAAATCAAAAAGAAGAAAGAAAAAACCGTTGGCCTAACAAACTGCTCCTGCTAGAATTTGTAGGCCAATGCCAATGCCGTTGTCATATGATGATGAAATACCTGCATAAACTGGAAATGAAAACACAATTTTTTTTAAACAAGTAAAAATGCATCTTTCCCTGTAGTTCTACATGAGTCTTATAAACTTAAGACTTTAATTATTAAGCCCTGTTTATTTTTTTTTTTGCCAGATGGCATGAAGTGGAAAAAACAGTAGTTAAAAAATAAAAATTTATTTAACACAGCCTCTCAGTATCTGTGGAGGATTGGTTCCAGGATGCTCCAGAAAACTAACACCTGAGGAGGCTGAAGTCCCTGATATAAAATGGTGTAGTATTTGCATTTAAGCTGTGTACATCTTCCTACATATTTTAAATCACCTCTAGATTACTTATAATACCTAATACAACGTAAATGGCTTATAAATAGTTGTTATACTATATTGCTTTTTAAATTTATATTATTCTTTTTTCTTTTTCTTGAGACGGAGTTTCGCTCTTGTTACCCAGGCTGGAGTGCAATGGCGCGATCTCGGCTCACCGCAACCTCCGCCTCCTGGGTTCAAGCAATTCTCCTGCCTCAGCCTCCTGAGTAGCTAGGATTACAGGCACGTGCCACCATGCCCAGCTAATTTTTTGTATCTTTAGTAGAGACGGGGTTTCACCATGTTGACCAGGATGGTCTCGATCTCTTGACCTCGTGATCCACCCGCCTCAGCCTCCCAAAGTGCTGGGATTACAGGCTTGAGCCACCGTGCCCGGCCTTTATTATTCTTTATTTAATATTTTCAATCTATGGTTGGTTGAATCTGGATTCAGAATCCTTGGATACAGAGGACTGATAGTATTTTCTTTCTTCAAGATCTCACTCTGATTTCCCTTTATATTGCAAAGAGAATGTTCATGTATTCACTGTGAAATAACTAAGTCTGTGGCAGAGGGTATTTTCCTCTTAAAAACAAAATTATAGATGTTTTCATACCAGTGAAAAATGAAATATCATCAACTTAGTAACTAATATTTTTGTTTGGAAACTTGTCAAAGTATTTATTGTATTAACACAGTATCACATTTCACAGTTTAATAAACCTTAAAAAAATCAATAATTAGCTACATAAGACTTTATGCATCATGCATGAAAGCTTTAGATTAAAATAGTTTTCAGCAGAATATTAATAACCTAAATAAACAGAATCTTAGAAAACTTTCCATTAAAATAAAAATTACTTAGGTCATACATATGACTGTTATCGTTATAAAAGATAAAACTGAAACTATTACCTACTCCCAATTTCTCAAATGATTGACTTGTGAAAAATCAATGAATCGCATTTTCTTACATATCATGTATTTACATTGCCACCTTGTGGAAACCAATACAAATTTTAAAAATTCACCCACTGCTGTTAGGAAAAAGCAGAAATTCTTTTCCAGTCTTGTTACTATATGCACTATCTGCTCTGTCTTATGGCTCTTCAGAAAGATGGATGTCTCTGCTAAATCAGTGAGTCTATTAACATACCTTGCTGTGTACCACAACCAGGATATGGTATAGACATTAAGAGTTACCAATGAAATAAAACCTCTCCTTAGACTATAGAGAATTATTCAAAAGCATGTTTTTTTCTTTAAAGAGATGGGTTTTGCTCTCTCTCCCAGGCTGGAATGCAGTGGTGCCATCATAGCTTGCTGTGGCCTTGAACTTCTGGGTTCAAGTAATCCTCCTGCCTCAGTCTCCCAGATAGCTGGGATCATAGGTGTGAGCCACGGCACCCAGTCCAAAAGCAGTTACTGAAGGAAGTTTCTATTGAGGATGCAAAGCTGGAGAAAGTCTCTGGCTCAAGCACAAGAAACTACAAGGTCATGGCTTTTCTTAAATCCATGAGAGGTGGGGCAACCAACTAGCCTGAGACCTAAGGAGAGAGAGGCTGATGCAGGGAGAGAAAAGAGAGTCCTTCCTTACCCAGGCAGATGCAGCTGTACCCTAAGATTATAAATTGGTAAAATATACATAAGATAACTGGTGACAATGAATGTATTAGAATAAATGATTTTCATTTCCTTTTCTCTATTTTCCAAATTTTGTAATACGGCCAGATTGCACTTATATTTAAGAAAAGGGAGGCATATCATTTATATTACTTTCCTGATCTAGTACTTACTACTGTAATTTCAAATTAAATCAATAATGCCAGAATAACAACTTTGGCAAAACAATCTAAGTGTAACATGATGACGCAGGGCCATAAGGACATTTCTGCAGAGATGTGCCCTCTTCCCTCCTGCTTCCGTGTTCTGTCCTCTGCTCTGCAGTGCACTTGGCCCTGAGCATCAAAACCCAAGCCCAGACTCTCCATTAATGACAACATCCAGAAGTGTCACTAGAAATACAGATTCCAGGGGCATTCATCTCCCTCAGGGAATATTAACAATAGACTATTTGCCACTAGGCAGCAAGATTTTTTTGTTTCTGTAATTTCAGCACATAGAAGGCTTCGTGGAGAGAGTTCTTACCTAATTTAACAAGTCGAGAAGAAACACCATTTAAAATTCTGAACTATCCACACAGAAGACAAGAGAGAATGCAACCTATTTTTTTCTTTTTCTTTCTTTTTTTTTTTTTTTTTTGAGACAGAATCTTGCTCTGTTGCCCAGGCTGGAGTGCAGTGGTGTGACCTCAGCACACTGCAACCTCTGCCTCTCGGGTTCAAGCGATTCTCCTGCCTCAGCCTTCCCAGCAGCTAGGATTAACAGGTGCATACCACCCCACTGGCTAATTTTTGTATTTTTAGTAGAGATGGGGTTTCATCATGTTCATTAGGCTGGTCTCAAGCTCCTGACTTCAAGTGATCTGCCTGCCTCAGCCTCCCAAAGCTGGGTATATAGGTGTGAGCCAATGTGCCCGGACCCTATTTTTTCTTTACAATGTTAATAGAGAATATTTTTATAGGTAGGGTGCTGGGAAAGAAATTCCTACAAATAACCACTTAATTTACCTTGTTTTCTTTTTAGTTGAAGATAGCAGTTTAATGGACTGAAGGAGAAGAAATGACAATCGAGACTCAAATATACTGAGGAGTTTCATCACTTCTTCTCGATTGAGACTAGGAGAAGCATCAGCAGCTGGAGCAGCGTCACCACTCTTAGGCTAAAAACAACAGTTATTTTACTTGAGCTACCCAACAACTGTAGTTTCATACCGTATCAAGTGATGGAACTGCAGTTTCATTAATCCAATAAATTTTTTAACCCCAAACAAAACAAACAAAAAGCACACCTGCAATCATTTTGACAGACTAAAACACATAATCAGTATGTCTCAGCCCAAACAGGCACTTATGTAGAAGAAATTAATCCTGACTTTCCAACATTAGACACGGCAGGGAAGTGTACGGTACTATACAGGAGTTGACCAAGCAGGGCTAGGAGAGCAATAGGTGTGTGTACCAGGGGGGCTTCAGGAAGCTTTTAGCAACAGCAGAAGATAGCGTGAAAGCTGGAATGCCCAGAACTAGAAATTCCTTCCTGAGGAGCCTGCTTAGGCCCATTCACCATTCAACTGCTCTCAGGCATTTTAGTGGAAACTACAAAAGAGGGCACAGGCCTTTACTTTTAAAACATAAAACAAATTCCCACCACCACCAACAAAAAACTTAAGAGACTTTATAATTTGCTAACTATGGTCTTGTTGAGATATATTACTTAAAAATATTTTAAAATACTTGCAAATTAAAGAAGGGAGATAAATAATTCTACCAGGCAAATATAACAAATCATTGTTAAAGTGTTTTAGGGCATAGCATACACATGTATGTGTACGTATACACACACATAAAACATACACGTAAACACACACATCTCATATGGCCACTATATACATTTACCATGTAGCTTAAAACACACAAAAACCAAATACAGTCATTTTCTCCATTTACCTGGCCAAATTCTTCTACAAGCTCCTTCTGGATAAGCTGGAACGCATGCTCAGTTCTCACCATTATATCAAGCGCCCCAGACAGTGTTTTCAACTTTCCAACATTGCTATTCTGGCCTAAAGTATAAAATACAAAATGTTAATTCCTTTAAAAATAAATCTAGAAACCCATCTAATGTTAATGTATTAATGAAAATTCAGACTTTCAAACCACTAAGAAGGAAGCCAATGAGAATCTTAAGTCTTCTAAATCCAACTTCTGTTTAATAATATTCCCTTGAGAAAAATACTAAGTCTGGACAAAGCAATAAATATTAATTGTTTCCCTGCCTCACTATGTGGTTTGACAGGATGACACCACGTTTTCAGAACAGGAGCCTGAGGAAAAGGGACCAGTGGAAAGGAGTCTGGGGCCTGACGGCCACCCCACAGTTTACCAGTTATATGGTCAAGTCACTTAAGCACTGAGTATCAGTTGTCCTACCTGTAATAGTTTATTACATTTCTGTTCAAAGGTAGCAAGTCAGACCAGATGAACAAGGTTTTGTTTTATTCTCAAGCCTTCTAAATAACATTTTTCTACAGCTAACAACACACCTTTGCTCCCGTTCTCCTAGAGCTCAATTGTGTGCAGTGGTGTGCAGTAGGAGATTCATCTTGTACAAACAGAGGTCTGGTCTTTGTCCTTGGCTCCCAGAAGGTAATCTCTAAGTCCTTGAAATGTCCTGCCTAGTAAGAATGCCTTTGTTTACCTGGGAGCCTTGGGTCACACTGGATAGCTTAACTATGGGACTCACTGTGGGGGCTTTGGGCCCCATGGTAACAGCTCGACCTCTAGAGGCACTGGAGACAAAGATCAGCCACATGGCAGTCAACCATGTCTACGTGACCAAGTTCCAATAAAAACTCTAAACCAAGGCTTGGGTGAGCTTCCCCAGTGGTACATGTATTGATTTATACACTTGGTGAGTACTGGCATGCATCACTGCCAGTACTCGCCAAGCGTAGAAATTAGCCAGAATTAGCACTATCTGTGACTCCAGCAGGAGAAGAACTAGGAGCTTCGCACTTAGAACTCTCCAGGACTCTGCCTGCTGAGCCTCTTCCCTTGGCTGATTTTAATGTACATCCTTTCAATGTAAGAAATTGTAACTGTAAGCAGAACAGCTTTCAGTGAGTTCTATAAGTCCTTCTAGCAAATTCTCAAACAGAATGGTCTTGGAGGCCCCCAACAAACTTGGAATTAGTGTGAGAAGTGAAAGTGATCTGGGGACTCCCCAAGTCAAGTCTATAGGTGGGGAGAGAATAACTGTTGCCTTCTTCCTTTAAAGCATAATCCCACACATTTTTTTTTTTTTTTTTTGAGGTGGAGTCTCACTCTGTTGCCCAGACTGGAGTGTAGTGGCATGATCTTAGCTCACTGCAACCTCCACCTCCTGGGTTCAAGTGATTCTCCTGCCTCAACCTCCCGAGTAGCTGGGACTTACGGGTGAGTAGCACCATGCCTAGGTAATTTTTGTATTTTTAGCAGAGACAGGGTTTCACCATGTTGGCCGGGATGGTCTTGATCTCCTGACCTTGTGATCCACCCACCTCGACCTCCCAAAGTGCTGGGATTACAGGTGTGAGCTGATGTGCTGACCCATAATCCCACACTTTCTAAATAATCTATTATCGTTCAAATCAACGGATAAATGTGATTTCAGCATGGATTTGGCATCTGGAAGACAAGCTATTGATTATGTATGGAAGTGATGTTGGGGCAGGGACCAGACAATATAGACATTAGGAAGGGAGATCTGAATCATATGTACTAGGAAAAAAACACTGGATAAAATAAGATAGAATAAAAGGTGTCACAATCTAGAGCATTTATTAACTTGGCTTACAAAACTCACAAATCTGGCTAACAACACCCCCCAAATATTTACATTATTTTCTAAAATACTCACAGTAGTAAAGTATTTAAAGGAGGGAATTAAGCACACTTATCATCTTAGCAAATTTGTTCTCAGTATCTTCTAGCACTTTGGGAGGCTGAGGCAGGAAGATTGCTTGAGCTAAGGAGTTTGAGACCAGCCTGGGCTTATAACATGGTGAGACCCTGTCTCTACAAAACATTTTTTAAAAAATTAGCTGAGGTCTGGGCGCCGTGGCTCACGCCTATAATCCCAGCACTTTGGGAGGCTGAGACGGGTGGATCACGAGGTCAAGAGATCGAGACCATCCTGGTCAACATGGTGAAACCACATCTCTACTAAAAATACAAAAGTTAGCTGGGCATGGTGGCACGTGCCTGTAGTCCCAGCTACTTGGGAGGCTGAGGCAGGAGAATTGCCTGAACCCAGGAGGCGGAGGTTGCGGTGAGCCGAGATCGCGCCATTGCACTCCAGCCTGGGTAACAAGAGCGAAACTCGATCTCAAAAAAAAAAAAAAATTGGCTGAGGATCACTAGAGCCCAGAAGGTGAAGGCTGCAGTGAGCCATGACCATGCCACTGCACTCCACTAGGTGACAGAGTGAGTCTGTCTCAAAACAAACAAACAAAAACTCAACAACAAAAAAAAGATGTTTGCTCATTCTATGGAATTCAAACCCAGCAGAATATTCAAAGGTGCAAATGTAAAGTGAAGATCACTCTCCCCAAACCGTCCCCCATAAAGAGCTAGTGTTAATTCTGGTGACTGTCCCACACATCTAGCCACGCATTATATGCCAGCAAAAAATTAATTTTAGTAAAAACTATTTTTAGAAACTGTTTTAGATGGGTAATACATTCCCAAAATTTACAAGGTCCAAATGGGTATGCAGTGAAGCCCCTCCTCCTGGCCTTCCAGGTTTCCTCCCCAGAGGAAACAATGTTACCAGTTTCTTAGGCACCTTCAGGGCTACTGTATACCTATGTAAACTGAGTCATACAGAAGTAAATTAACCTTGTTTTACAGAAGACTGAAAAACTAAATGAACTGCTGCACTTCAAATAATTGTTTCTTGTTTTTTTACCACACAAGAAATACTTCTCAGAAGACTCCTCTGCAGGAGAAGAGAACAGGTTAGCAAGACAGAGGGGGCAACTTAGGAAAAATCATTAAGTGGTTGAAGCATCTGCCTACTCCCTGCCATGGAAAATAACCTAAGAAAGCATTCTTAGCTTCACCCTTCTCTATCTCCCGACTTATCTGTACCTTGGTCAGGCTCTACCGTAGTGTCTATTCTGGAACCACAATCCAAATGTCAGTTCTATGTTTAAAGGGTTCAATAAGGCCCACTACTCCTTTACTGTTACCTCTCAATTCCATTCTCAACTTTTTCATCCTGATTTAAATCTTTGTGTTTTTTTGTTTTGTTTTGAGACAGTCTCGAGCTGTTGCCCAGGCCGGAGCCCAGTGGCATGATCTTGGCTCACTGCAACCTCTACCTCCTGGGTTCAAGCGATTCACCCACCTCACCCTCCTCAGCAGCTGGGACTACAAGCCTGCACCACCACACCTGGCCAATTTTTGTATTTAGTAGAGATGGGATTTCACTATGTTGGCCAGGCTGGTCTCGACTCCTGACCTAAGGTGATCCGCCTGCCTCAGTCTCCCAGAGTGCTGGGATCGCAGGCGTGAGCCATCATGCCTGGCCAATTTAAATCTTTAACTGTTTAAACTGATTTGTCAAATTTTTTTCCAAATAAGGGGTCATGGGCCATATTTCACTATTTCTAGTGACTGAACATAATCTATTTTTCTCGTTTTAAAAAGCCCTTCAAAAAGTATAGAGATTCCTCCTGCTCCCTACCCAAAATCATTAACTCTGGGGCAAATTGAAAATGAAAGCAGTATTATTTAGCTTCACAGACCTGCCTCACTCTAAGACAACTGAACGCTAAGCCAATATATGCATATTCGAGAAATGAAAAGTAAGACTTACTGGTCATCTGAAATTCTGCAAATGCTACTCTCTCCAGCTGTACTCTGAGCAGCTCACAGGGAGCGTCCTTCAGAAGCTGGAACAGCTTTGTGGCCTTGGTATAATGAAGGTCTGCCAGCACCCGGTGCTGCTTCCTGAGGTGTTCATCACCAACCTGAAATCAAAGCCCAAACTTCAAACACAAATCCTTCCCGGTAACTCCCTCAGGCTTCACTAAGTGCTTCTGAGTTATTTTTCACCCCGGGGATCTTATTAGGTCTTGTTGTTTTTAGCTTTTATATTTAGGTATTTAATCCATTTCTCTTTTTTTTTTTTTTTTTTTTTTGAGACGGAGTCTCACTCTGTTGCCCAGGCTGGAGTGCAATGGCATGAACTCAGCTCACTACAGCCTCCGCCTCCTGGATCAAGCAATTTCCCTGCCTCAGCCTCCTGAGTGGCTGGGATTACAGGCGCCCATCACTACTGCTTGGCTAATTTGTGTATTTTTAGTAGAGACGGGGTTTTGCCATGTTGGCCAGGCTGGTCGCAAACTCCTGACCTCAAATGATCTGCCTGCCTCGGCCTCCCAAAGTGCTGCGATTATAGGTATGAATTGGAGAAGATTTCTTTCCACTTTGCCTTCTAAAGTCCTCAACCAAAATTCAGGTTTTCTCAGGTGGCCTAATATCCTAATGGCAAAGGCAAGTTTAAGGGAGCCAAGACAATTCAGTAGAGGAAGAGTAGTCTTTTCAGAAAATGGTACTGGGGCAACTAGATATCTATATGCAAAAGAGTGGGGAGGCCTGGGAGGCAGAGTTTGCAGTGAACCAAGATCATGCCACTGCACTCCAGTCTGGGCAACAGAATGAGACCCAGTCTGAAAAAAAAAAAAAAAAAACCTTCTTCAGTTTAAGCTGGATCTCAAACTCAAAAGATGATACTTTTCAGCATAAGGGCCACCCAGAAGTAAACTCATGCCAAAAGGACTGCAAGGTAAGTAGTCTTACCTTACCAGCAGGAAAAGCAACAAAGCAAACAAAAAGCATTACTGAGAAACTATAGGCCCAAGACTCCAGCAGAAGCAAAGCAATCTCTCCAAAGGAAGGCTAATTTATTCTAGGCCTCAGATTATTCTCAGAAATACAGGCATTTGAGCACAAGGATTCATGTATAATACTGTTGGTACTAGATTCTAATAGCATCAAACTGGAATAACCTAAAAATTCAGTAATCACAGACTAAATAAACTACCATATAGTCATTTAACGACTACTTAGCTGAGAAAATGAACAGGTACATGTGCCTGCCAACACAGATGCATCTCAAAAACACAAGGTTAAGTGAAAGGCAGTAAGCCACAGAACACCAACAGAAGGGTTCATTTTCTCATGCTCCCCATGGAGCACAATATAGACATACTATTTAAGTGGCACAGCACAAAAAAGGCAGGAACACAGCAGAAAATTTAGGACAGCAGTTTACCTGGATGAACATCAAGGAAGACACACCAGGGAGGGGCACACGGGGGCCCTCTAGAGGACGCTTCCATTCCTTCACCTCCAGACAAGGGCCACAGGGCTTTTCCTTTTGTTTATTTTGTAAACTGTATGTATGTGCCACATGTATTTTCTATGCTTTCATATATATGCTCTACTTGTCAATAAAAGATGGGAGACTAGTACTGTAAAACTGGCATCAAACCATTACTATAAAGCCTACCTACATTAAAAAAAAAACTAAGTAACACACCTAGGCAAATCGGTAAGTTCGCTAAGACCCAATCAAGTAGAGTAGAAGAAAATATATGGCACAGGTGAGAGGGAAAAACAGCTACACTACATGTTTTTCTAAAGTAGCTAATTAAAAACAAAGAACCCAGAATACTTTTATCCTAACGCAGCTCTGTACTTAACTTGGACTAACAGTACCTGATTCCTCAGACAGCTATGGTACATGGAGGCCAGCCTGTGATGGATGGTTGCAGCTCGATACTGACAAAGGGGCTGCCGCGCAGACACTGAATCCACGTCGCAGTATTTCAGGGACTTCATCATGGCCTCACTGACTTCTTTTTCAATCTGTTTATTTTTTTGAGGGCAAGAAAAAAAATAAGTTTGGAATCTGACTGTAGGGGTTGTTAAAACGTTTAAATGCTGCTTATTAAAGAAAAGACAACGAATACTCAATATTTGTTAAAGGAATACATGAGACTGAGAACTTATTTTATAATCCAGCAAATATTATCACCTGCTCCTGAGCTTTTCTAGATAATGGAGCATAATCTTGCTGTAGAGTTGCCATAGTAAAGTAAGTCGTGGACAATTCCCAGTTCACCGAATCCCAAACAGCTGGATGTATGTCTCGTGTTCCCAATGACCTTAGTGCTTTCAAATAGTAATCGATAGCCTGCAAAGGAGAAAACAGTGTACATTTCTAACTCAGCTTAAACACACACCAATACTGCATTAAAATAAAACATATTTTGTTAACTATCCAGATGTTAACTTAATTTTGGGATAATTTATAAAGGGACAACATTATGAGGAAATTACTTTTTCTTCCCAAAAAAGTCAATGAAAATATTTCAGTGAAGAAAGTTATTTCAAGTAGACTGAAGACCACTCTGCATTCCCACCTCAAGGCTACAAGAAGCCAGTCCATGGTGCTGCTTTCTGACTCAGGCTGAGCATGAGGATGCACCTGCTTCCTTTTTTTTTTTCTTTCTAAATGTAAATTACAGTTTACATACTAGTAAACTAGATTAAAAACTTGACAGATTTTACTGTAAAAAGAAGTATTTCCTCCCACCTTGTTACCCCAATCCTCAAATACATGGCCATTATATTAAAATCAAAACCAAAACCATACTTTACTTAACTACCCAGCAATAATTTTTCTTTTTTTGTATCCAGCAATAATTTCTACATTTCTGGTGTGTACGTATTAACTCTCTTCTGTGTATATATAAATTTAAAAAAGAAAATAAAAAAAGATCACACTCATTTAAAAATTTATTATGCCACAATCATTCTTCACTACTAATGTCATTTAAATGGCTTCAGTTACTCCAGAACATGAGTGCTCATATCCTTGTACCTTCTCCAACAGTCAGTGTGATCATTTGTCATAAAATTTGGCAATCTGATAAATAAAACTCAATTTTGAGGCCAGGAGTTTGAGACCAGCATGGCCAACATGGCGAAACCCCATTTCTACTAAAAATATTATAATACCAAAATGAGCCAGGCGTGGTTGGTGCACACCTGTGGTCTTAGCTATGTGGGAGGATGAGGCATGAAGATTGCTTGAACCCAGGTTGCAGTGAGCTGAGACTGTGCCACTGTACTCCAGCCTGGGCAACAGAGTGAGACTCTGTCTAAAAAAAAAAAAATTAATTTTGAAATTTTTCTTTTGTATATATTAGCCATTTACTTTTTTTTTTTAAAAAAAGTGTACATTTCCTGTTCAAGGTTATTTGCTCTTTTTTTCTCTTTGGGTGGTTTAATTTCAATGATTCTTAATTTTTATATGGTAAGAGTGTATTAACCTCTCTTCTGTTATTATGAATAAGTATTTTCCCTAGATTATAATTTGCTTTCAATTTCACTTTCTGTTGCACATTTTTAGATTTTTTACATATTTGTGCTTTTTAGAACTTTATTTTTTACACATTTGAGTTTATTCAACTTTTACCCAGGATTTCTGCTTACCGTGCAATGCCGGGAAAGTCCTTCCTTAGCCTATCATATACCTATCATATAAGTTGCTACCTGTATTTTCTTCTAGTACTTTTACAGTTTTACTTTCTCCATGTCAATCTTTAATCCATTTGACGTTCAAGCTGCTTGTACCAACAGTTTGCAGAATCATCTTTTTCCTACCAATTCCACATGTCATCTTCAATACTCAATTCTTACTCGTCTTAGGCCAGGTTCCAGGCATTTTCATGATCTGTCTAGTTTTGTGCCATTACCATAGTTTAATTATTTTTAGGTTTGTAAAATTTTAGTGAAACAATGGCAAAGTGTAAATAAATGACAGGTATGAATGGGTGAGGCCCAACATGCAAGCGGATTTGTTACCTTATTATAATATAAGCCTTCTTCTGGTGAAAATTCACGTTTAAATTCATCACCTGCACCACAGTGTGCCTGTGCACAAATTCGCATGAGTCTCCCGGTGTTACATAATAAAAGGGCGGCATTTGTAGCATCCTCAATTGACTCAAAGTTGTGAATTCCCTTTTCAAAACAAGAAAAGCTTTTTTTCCACAACTGTTGCTCGGCAGCAGACACAGATTTGCTCACTTTACAGAGAAAGAAAGAAAAGAACTGCGTAAGCAGACATCAGTGTAAACCCTAGCACTGTCTCTTAATGAGATAAGAAGATGGCAGTGACAGGAGTGTGGTGGCGAGCCAGTCACCTGCAGTCAACCACGGCGCATTGCTCTCATCATGCCTGTTACATGAAGGGTAACGTGTACCCCAGAGTTCCTATGTTGAAGCCCGAATCCCTAGTTCCTTAGAATGTGATTATATTTAGGGCAGGCCCTTTAAAGACATAATTAAGGTTAAATGAGATCGTAAGAGTGGGGTCCTAATCCAGTATGACTGGTGTCCTTTTAAAAAGAGGGAGAGACTCCAGGGGCACGCACAGAGAGAGGGCCCTGTGTGGACACAGTGAGAAGGTGGTTATCTGCAAGCCAAGCGAGAAGCATGAGAGGAATCCAAGCCTGCTGCCAGTCTCCAGACCTATGAGACAATACATTTCTCTTGTTTATGCCACCCAGTCTATGACATTTCATTATAGCAGCCCCAGCCAAGTAATATAGCTTGATGAAATCTCTTGCCATCCTGCTCCGCCTCACCAGGAACTGAAACATCCCTTTGTCCAGCATATTCATGCTGTACACAGAGCCACCCATTAATCACTTAGTAGCTGTTGGGTTATTAGACAGCTGCCGTTATGATATCGCTGTGCTTCTGTACAAGTAATCCTTATTTTTACTTAATAATGCCCCAAAGCATGAGAGTATTGATGCTGGCGTACTGTTGCAAATGCCGTTAATCTCTTACTGTGCCTAATTTGTAAATTAAACTTCATCACAGGTATGTATGTATAGGAAAAAGTACAGTATATACAGGGTTTGGTACTCTCCACAGTTTCAGGCATCCACTGGGGATCTTGGAAAGTATCCTCCAAGGATGAGTGGGGACAACTGCTAACACTTAAGTATAACTCTTCAATATTAACCAAATGATATCAAAATAAGCAAAGAAATACATCTGAGCAAAGTACCATTTTGTCAAGATCCAAAAGCGTGGTCCCATGGAGTCTGAAGAGATTACAACCTGTGTTGTGTTCAATTTCCCGAGCTTCCTGCCTACCACTTCCTGGGCTCCCTCACTGCCTGCTCCAGATGCACCTTAAATAACAGGTTCTCTTACTAGCAATGAACTCTTTGGGGGCAATATTTATATTCCTACTGCCGAGCATAGTTCACAGATCAACAGGTACACAGGCTAGGTGCAGTGGCTTATGCCTGTAATCCCAGCACACTGGGAGGCCAAGGTGTAAGGGCTGCCTGAGGCCAGGAGTTCAAGACCAGCCTGGGTAACACAGCAAGACCTCATCTCTAAAAAAATTTTGAAAAAGTGCTTTGGAGGGTGAGGTGAGAGGATTGCTTGAGCCCAGGAGTTCAAGGCTGTAGTGAGCTATGATTATGCCACTGCATTCTAGCCTGGGCGATAGAGCAAGACACTGTCTCTAAAAATAAATATGTAAACAAATAAAAAAAAACAAAACCAAAGGCCCACAGATGTTCAGCTTACCTGCTAAACTTAGCTCTACCTCAGTGCCTTGCTGTTCTTACCATGTCCAACCTTTATATTCCCATCTGCTCTCATGGCTTCAATTATCACCTTTCTGTGATTGGTTCTCAATCTATCTCACTAGCCCTATTTCAAATCAACCACTAAACCACTAAATTACATCTTTCACATACCTGTTCCATAGTGGACTCGAATTCAACATGGGCCCAAAGGATTTAGCATCCCACATCATACTCACACAGGCCTCTTGCTCCCTCTAAACATGCACTTGGACCCTCTGAGATCCCTGGCTTCTTCCCCCTGAGTCTGGAAAGCCCTCCATTCCTCACATTAGCCTGCTGACGTTCTACACGTCCCGCACCACCCTGCTCAAGTACACTTTCCCAAAAGCCTTCTAAAAACCCTACAACTTCATAAACGTCATCTTGCCCCAGTCTCCCATTATGCTGTACTCATCCACAGCATTTTGAGGCTTTGCGTTCATATCTAGCTTCCCAACATGAAGAGAGGACCATATTTTAGCCAGTTATATGTCCAACAAGGAGCCTGGCACAATGGCTGGGTGTCCCATTTGCTTCTGAATTGATCAGAAGGACTAAAGTACACAGTAGGAATGAAGAACACTGAAATAATTAATTCCAAGGGGAAATAATGCTTTCCTAATTCTATTTCTGAAGAATAAGAGGTTCTCTAACACAGCACCTCTTTATGATATAAAATCAAGTGCCACAGTTCTTAACTCATAAAAACTTAACGTAATTTTCTAAGAGAGCAGGCAATAAAGAGAGGAATCTAAAGAGATACTCACCTACTCTCTCACTCTGTAATGCAGCAGCCTGATTCATGTAAAATACACCAATTTCATTTCTAATGTTACCCATTCTCTTTAACACTTGTACATAGTGTTCTGGATTTTGGCTTTTTAAGTCACTAAATTGCAAGATTTCATTAGCAGCCTCATAACATTTACAACTAACAGACAGTTGACTTTCTAAGTCTGTAGACAAATCAGTTGCCCATGCAAATCCTGAAAAGAAAAAAGGTAAACATCACTGTGAGTCGGGTGATTTCTTCTTCCTCAGTATCGAAATGAACCTGATATTTTAAATTCTAAGTAATAAAAAATGCAATACAGCATAAGTATACTAAGATTCAATCAATACAACAATATTTAAGTTTCATAATAAAGATCTACTTCTTTATAAAATTATATTTCTTGGGATATGAATGTTGGATAAAAATAAACATTTTCCTGGCTATGTGTATCAAACAATTCCTGTGATCCTGGTTTTCCCAGGAACACTTGTTTATTAGGACAGGCCTAACGTCCACTAATCCAAAGTAAATTTGGCATTTTTAATTAACAAAAATAGTTCTTGAAATAATGTGCCAAGTTAACATTAAGTCACTGAAGAAGCTGCCACACAAGCCCTCGAGGATTAAAAATGCCATCTAGTGGGGACTGGAGTACAAAGAAGTATTTAACTGAAATTGCTATGATGGGAGTAATAAAAATACACTGAGGATTTTCCTACTACATCTATAAAAAAAAAAAAGATTATTTGAGAAAGACGGAGAGTGGGGAACAAAGGGCAAAAATATTAGAAAATCACACATTTTTCCCTCTCCCCTAATATACTCCTCCAGCAGTTAACTGTCCAAAACTTTGGGAGGCAAACATCATGTAATATTTAGCATAAAAATTTAAGAGCAAAATAAAACAATCCCATGAAAAGAAGCACCTTCAGAAGACTCATCTTTTACTTTGTTCACTGTCCCAACGGCAGTGTGCTTACACAACTGTACTGAGGTAAGAGGGAGGAATATCGATACTGTGGATCTGATTACTCTATTTCCCAGTTTTAAAGCCTGATAATTACAAACACAGTGACATATTCAGTAAGAAGGCAGGCTATGAGCTAACTTTAAAAATAATGATCACTTTAGTTTAGCCCAGAGGAATCATTCAGAAGGTAATCGACCTTCATCAACTGTTATACCTTTCAAAAGAAAATCCATGGCTTCGTTAGCTGACTACAAGTGTTACCTGGAAGAACCTCATGGAAAAAAAAAGAGGAGTACTGTGTAAAAAGCTGACACAAGGCTGGGCACAACGGCTCACACCTGTAATCCCAGCACTTTGGGAGGCCAAGGTGGGAGGACTGCTTGAGTTGAGGAATTTGAAACCAGCCTGGGGCAACATGGTGAAACCCTATCTCAAACAAAAATTAGCCAGGTGTGGTGGCACATGTACTAGTCCCAGCTACTTGGGAGACTGAGATGGGAGGATCACTTGAACCCAGAAGGTGGAGGTTGCAGTGAGCCAAGATTACCCCACTGCAGGGAGGCAGAGTGAGACTGTCTTAAAAAAAAAATTGACACAACTGTCTTTGGATCTTACTTTGTAGTTAGTTCTAGTTATATGAATAGTAATTATAAAATACTTAAAAATCATTTTATACAAATACACAGGATCATGCATAATTTTAAAATTAAGAAATGAATAAAATAAAACAGCAGGCCAGGTGCGGTGGCTCACGCCTGTAATTCCAGCACTTTGGGAGGCCAAGGTGAGTGGATTACTTGAGGCCAGAAGTTCGGGACCGGCCTGGCCAACATGGTGAAACCTTGTCTCTACTAAAAATACAAAAATTAGCTGGGCGTGGTGGTGTGTGCTTGTAGTCCCAGCTACTCTGGAGGCTGAGGCAGGAGGATCACTTGAACCCAGGAAGTGGAGGCTGCAGTGAGCCGAGATCGTGCCACTGTACTTCAGCCTGGGTGACAAAGACTCTGTCTCAGAAAACAAAAAATTAAATAAATAAATGCAGAGCAAATATGAACACTAATATTTCTGTCCCTTTTCTGAATACTCAAGAATGAGCTGGACTGCACAGTTCCTCTGTGAACCACGTGGTCTGCGCCTCTGGCACACCTTGGCAGCTGGACTCTCTGTGAAGGCTGTGCAGGATCTCCTGGTCTTCTTTCGTTTGGTAATGAAACTCTTCAAGGTGTGCTGCTCTATTATTTGCATTCTGGGCTAGCATTAGTTGGATATCACCACAAAGTGTCAAATACTGAGAGAGAAACAGCAGCACTTCGGAAAGCATATTGGTGCAGAGACAGCAGTAAGTATCTGTTTGGGAAGCGTGGGAGGGAGAAAAAACACAATGCAGAAAAAATGAATGATCATGGGAAATAGGAAGAAACTGTGTTACCAGCTGAACACTTTGTGCTACTGTACCTACTCTGTGTTTATGTCCAATAATACATATTAAGGTTTCATGCATTTCATAGCAAAGAGATGTTAAACCACTGAGCAGAAACTAAAATAGTAGGTAACACACACAGGATTAGAAACAGACATTTTAAAATAAAGATTTACAACAGAAATAGGAGTAAACTTCCAACTGTGATTCAGACGCCTTCTCTGCTCTCCCTTCCCAGAGACTATTAAACATATTCATTTATAGTGGCTTACCATGGCTTTGCAAAGCTAATTTAATGTATCGTAATGCTCTTCCATATTTCTGAAGACTCATGGCAGCATCAGACAAAACATAATAGGCCTTTGATGACTTGAGAATCAGCTGAAGTTTCATTTTATGTTGCCAAGAGCCAGGGATCATTCCAGATTGACTGGAATAATTGCCCTTCTGAAGGGAGCCCACTGTGACATGTAGAAAAAAAAGACAGCACATTTCATTTGACCGTAAGTCTCACGCATAAAAAATATTTTCTATTTCTTGATGGAAACACTCTAGACTTAGGTACTATTATGACAACACTGGCAAATACTATGTTTTACTGCTTAAATATATTGGAGTAAAATGGCTGTGTTAAAAGACTCTCACCTGGGAGTTCTAGGGCCTTCTGCTCGGCAACTCTGCCATTCTCTTCCAGTGTCACTGAACCTCATGAGTGACACCTGTCTCCTTTCTCCAGTCTATGTGTCAACCTGTCAAAGTTTGCTTTAGATCATGGACATTTCTAGTAAATGCACATGCTTAGATCAGTGTCTAAAGCACAGCTTAGATCAGTGTCAAAGCCTCGCATCCTTAAACATTAAAATGGCTTCTCCCCAATTAGCCTAAGCTAGTTGCAAGTTTCTCAGCCTTAATTCCTACTTGTCCATCCTACTATCCGTCAGCCGATGTTAAGTTACTACTTGTCACCTACAAAGATGTCTGTTTTTCCTATCTCCCATCTTAGTTTACTGTTTCCTCTATCAGGAATACTTTTTAAAGTCCAGCCCATCGCTACTGTCTTTACTTAACAAATGATCATTTTTGTGCCAAACACTGGCACTAGAAACTGTGACATGAAGTTATATGGCCCCTAACCTTGATAACATAAACCACAACAAAATATGGTAAGTGTAATTAACAAAGAGAGAACAAAACACTGTGGAATATTTTGCTCCACAAAGAACAAAAACATACCCACCCTCTCCCCAGCTTTAAGATTTCTCATTTTTTAATCGGCTAAAATACAAGTCTTTGAAGGCAATAAAAGGTACTTAGTCTTTATTATGGTTTAATGTGTGCATGTATTTCTTTTTCCTCTGCTGATAGAAGCATTATCTGTGAGTAAGAGGCATTGTGAGAAACTAAAATTAAGATGAAGTTCTTGTTCACAAGTGTGTTTGTGTGTCCATGTGTATGTAAAACCGTTTAACACAGGAACTCGGACATAAGGCAGGCTCACAGGACAAAATGGTAAGAGAATCAAGTAATTCTGATAGAGGATGTAGGAAAGCATGGAGATTCTGAGCTTGGGCAGGATTATCAACAGGGGAGACAGAAAAGGCATTTCAGAAAAAAAAGAATAGCAGAAGTCCTGGTGTGATCTCCTTACTGCTTGTAGGCTGAAGCCTGGCATACAAGCAGCACTACATAAATGCTGGGGAAATAAATCTATTCCTCTCCTACCTCCACCATGTCTGTTCCAGAAAGGAAGAAAGGTCTAGAAAGCACTTGGTATTCTTTCAAACATACAGGCTTTCTACACTTTTTTTTTTTTTTAACAATTGAAACTGATTTTAAAGGGGGGAAGAAATAAGGTTGGAAATAGAGATACAACTTAGGTTAAAATAAAGAAGAAATTCACAACTTTTGCTTCAAAGCCTATATGTTCTTCATGATGTGATATTCCTGAAGAACAAACTAGATAATTTAAAAGTGACATTTCGAGCTTATTCAAGTACTGTGCAGTAACAACAGCGTACACTTCTATAGTGCTTATTTTGTATGCTATCTGAGCACTTTACATATATTAACAATTTAATCACTGTCACAACACTTTAAAGAAGGAATTATTATTGTCTCCATTTTCAAAGAGATAGAAAGTGACTCAAAACAGTAGAACAACTTGCCCTAACAAAGCCAAGATGTGAAGCTAGGCAGTCTGGCTCCTAAGTCTGTGGCTCCTAAATACTCCAGTGCTTTTAATGAAGCAGCAATTTCTGAGAACTCCACCAGGCTTGAAGGCATTAGTTCCTGTCACTGTGGGTAACAGGAAGATGCAGGCTCCTTATGTTCTTACTAGAAATGTCCATGAAACATCAAAATTATCCTTTGTCTTACATTTCAAATGAAAGAATACTACCCCTACTTCCAGTTCACATGATATCTTTTTCTCAATGCCTTTCAATGAATGCCTTAATTGACATAAGTCTGCTGTTGATAAAGAACCAGTATATTATTCTGTTGAAGGCCTTATTTGCACATCAATTCAACTTACTTTTGTCCAAAAACAAGGCCATCTGCTTCTCTGGCCCCTCAGGACCCCCTCTTGTGGATTCGTCTTCATATTTTAACGGGATTGGAGTACTGGGGTCAGCTGCTGGAGGGTCGCTTTCTTTTTTGATGCTGCTATCAACAGATTTTAAACCCTTCAAAAAAAGCAAAAGAATTCGCTATATACCTAACTTCAGGTCAACTGAAAACTAAATATAAGACAGTATCTGGACTACTGATTACATTTAGGAAAATTTCCATTTGAGAAACAGACTTTTAAAAACTATTTTGATCTGAAAGATTTGGGGAAAACGAATTTGATTTCCACTTTATGCTTAAGGAAATAAATATTACAGCAGAACATGATTCGGAATAACATTTAGATACCAACGAACAAGTGCAAACCGCATATCAGGTACAAACTTCACCAAAAAGTGAAGGGTAAACTTACCTCTAGAACGTAGCTAAGCACAAGTCTACAGCGCTCTTCTGTGTCATGGCAAACTGGAAATGCACAACTGGGCTTTGGGAACAAACGTGAAATTATTAATAGGCCACCAGTGCAACAAATCCCATGGTTCTCATTTCCAAGGAATGACTACAACTCTACAAACCAATTTTAGAAATGTGTTTCATGTATCGAGTTTAGTGAGGAATCGCTTGAACCCAGGAGGTGGAGGTTGCAGTAAGCTGAGATCGTGCCACTGCACTCCAGCCTGGTGACAATGCGAGAGTCCGTCTCAAAAAAAAAAAAGAAAAAAGAAAAAAAAATACTGTAAGCATTATCAACAAAAATCTTGCTTAAAAGGATCCTACAACATATATGTTGCTTTAAATACTAACAATTTTAAATATAATTCTAATATGACAAAAAAGCACGAACCAGAGCAGTAATGTTTTAGACAAATGTAGACCTAATCTAATAGGTCAGCCCTGCTCGGAATTAGCAGTGATACTGGGCAATACAGAATTAAAAATTATCATCAATTTAGAAATAACAAGTATCACCAATAGTCTCATTGTTTATTTGCTTAATTAAAGAGCAAAATCAGCTAGCAACCTCCAACTACAAAGGATATTACGTACAGGGACCTTGTGAAGCATTTCGTTTTGCTGAATTCTGAGAGTTTGGAATTACTGTTCTCATTGTACAGAAGAGAGGCAAGCACAGACAGTTCAGCAATTTGTCTGAGGACACAGTGAGTGAGTGGGGAGCTGGGGCTCTGGAGCTCATGCCGACTGTCCATACTGCAGTCATTCAACAAGGATGAGGAAAAGCTAACTAAAGACATGATTATATGAATACTAAGACTAATATTTTGAGTGCTTCAAAGATACTGACAAAGTGCTATCTCTGAAAAATACTGACGCTAACTCATTACATCTTTACTTATTACCTAAGTGCCCTGTAAGTCCATGGCCTAGTGTTACAGTGCAGTTTTCCATATACATGTAACTCCTGCAATCAATGATTATAACCAGAACATTTTTTCACTCCACTGTGGAAGTTCAAGCTGAAAGTGAACTAAAATTTAGATGGGCAGTTAATGACTTTTTCCTGAAGTCATTTAGTCAAATATTTACTGAGTACTCATAATGTGTTCTAGACATAGGAGACAGAATGTCTGTATCTGCAGGGAGCTTACACACTCTAGTGAAGGGAGACAAACACAAAAATAAGAACTTCAGGTACAGACAGGCTCCTTGAAGGACCGAAAAGTAGAGCACACTTAAGCCAGAGTGGTCAGGAACATTTCCCTGAAGAGGCAACATTTCAGTCAAGACTTAAGCCTTAAAAAAGGCGGCCATGAACAGACCTAGGGAAGGTACATTCCAAGCAGAAGCAACAGCAAATACAGAGGCCCTCCTACGAGCATGATCTTGATGCTTTTGAGAGGAAAAAAAAAAAAAAGCCAGCATGGCTACTGCAAACAGATGGGGAAAGTGAAGGTCAGAAAAACTGGCAATGTTTTAGGGTGACAGAGATAGCCCCTCAAAAACTTGCTTAGATATAAAGTTTCCATCTGAAAGTTACACTCAGTGAGTGCCTAAATTAAGAGATTACCTGTAAATATGACTGTATTTCAGTTCAGGGAACAGCCAGAACTAAAGCTGCCCTGGATCTAATTATAGGGAGACAGTATGTTGAAAGGCATATACTGCCTGGAGATACACTGATGGTAGGAGGACAGTCATTACAACCCACACAGGGAGAAATCTATCTGGCCCTGTCCAGGGAAGAGACATGTTCAATATGGCAGACATGACCACCAGAGTCCAGAAAAAATACTGTCCTATATAGCAAAGGATGATGCACCAGATCTCACCACATACAGCTCCAAGAGCTGCCCCCTTCCCTACTCTATGTTCACCAAGTAACCTATATATATCATATCCCAGCAACCCCAGAACTGGACAGAAGTACCTAGTGAGAAGACATGACTAAGACTACACGCTGGTCACTGGAGAGGAAAATCCTCCACATAAGAATAGACAGACATCTGTTTATACATCTGTTCAGTATAGGATTGCATATGTGGGTCAATTAACCTGGGACAATTAAAAAACCAAGTTTTAGGATTCAGAAAACTAATGCTTATTAGACCCTTGACCAAGAAAGGTTTATTGAAGTAATATCTTTTGAAAGGCCAACTATATTAGATTAACAAGTATGTTTCCTTGATAAAAATTTAATATAAATTCTAAAGGCTTACTCTGATTTGATGAATAGATTTGTATTTCTCTGGTACCGACAGTTCTCCAACAGACTTAATGATAGCTACTGCTTTGCTATCATCAGATGGATCAGAGCTGGTGCTATAGGATCCATTTTCGTCACTGTCCGGCATCTCTTCCTCCTCTTCACTATAACTTTCATCAGAATTTTCATTTAAAGGAGATTCTGAATTTTCTTCCTTTTTAGGTTCATCCAATTGAAAAAGTTCTGAAAGCATGTAATTGGCAGAAGCAATAATCTTATGAAAAAAAGAGAAATATGTGTAAATTATTGACATCAAAAATATAATTTTACTATCATATTAACAAATTTTAGGAGGAGGTCTTCACACAGGCTATTTCCACTATACAGACTATAACACACAGAGAAATGTTCCCAATTTAAAGCTATCGATACTCTGGGTATGCTCTGTAAAATCTTTATAGGTTGACGTGTTTCCTATTTCCTGAAATTATTTCACCCCTGAGCCTTCCCTCTTAAAAAGTATCAACTGAATTTCACTGGAGACAAACAAAAGCTTTTGAGTATAGAGTGTCATAACTAAAATATTAACAAACATTAATAACACCCTAAACCAAGTGAGAAACTAGAATTTCTCTTTTCAAACCATAAATTAATACAAGTTTCTCTATAATAGGCAACTAATATTTATTATACAATCTATGATTCTAGTTAAAAAAAAAAACCCACTATATTAAAAAGGGAAAAGTCCATTCTGATATCTCTTAAAATTAGCATTTATATATGACCATTCATCCCATTCTATTATTTATCAGTTCTTATTCACAGACAATAGTCTTAACACCTTTCTTTAACATCAGTATAAACCACTCAAGTTCCACTAAACGTGGCCACCTTGGTCAGCAATTAGATATTTAAGTCAGAAACAAAATGTTTTACTATTTTTCTTAAAAAAAAATTTGAGTTTGGCCACTAGGATAATCTTTATCTTGAAATCAAATGTGGCTGCAATTAAAATTACTTTGGCTCTTCAAAGAAAAATTGCATATGCTACATACCTTTACTAATTTTAACAGGATACAATTAGCCTTACAGCGAAAAATAAAGTTGTCAATCGGACAACTGAGGGTAAGGATAGTATAAAATTGTAGGGAGCATAACTGAGGGAGTATTTTAAGAGATGCTTTTCCCCCTTCTTTAAAACAAATTTTACTAGGCTTTATTTAAGAGATGCTTTAATATCCTCAAGTGTGGAATGTGAACCCTATTTATATTACCAAAGTGATTAACAAGGTCTAATAGTGACAAAGAACTGAGAGCACTACTGTTAAAATTACATGAGTTCTAAATTTATTGAGCAGTGCTGTCTAACAGAAATATAACATGAGCTACATATGAAATTTTAAATTTTCTAGTAGCTACATTTAAAAAGTAGAATCTGTGAAATTAATTTAAATATATTTACTCCAATATATATAATACCACATTTCAACATGTAACATGTACAGACACCCAATCTTCAAAATTCAGTGTGTATTTTATACTTACAGCACATGTTAATTCAGACAAAGCACATTTTAAGTGATCAACAGCCACATGTAGTACCACACCGAATAGGGCAGTTACAAAATATGAATTAGGAGGCTTTACTGTCTAGGTAACAATTCCCTATTAGAATGCTAGAACTGTTTTAGAGAATGTATAAGTGTTCATCTTACTTGAGGATGCCTGCTTTTGTCCAATAATTTAAGACAGTTAAGAAGCAATGTTCTAACTAGTTCCATAGTGTTTCTTATTTTGATTCTTCTTCATCATCATGTTGCAAGCAACCCTAAAAAAAGAGTTAATATCTTTACTGCCCATTCATCATTGTCTGCAAGACTCAAGCCTAGGAATGCTCCTGATTTTTTCCAACAGACTAAGAGCTGCAAGAAACAACAAAACATTAAACTTTACACTTTATCCACCTACCCCCAAAACATTTATATTATGCTGTCCTAAGAAAGCTGAGTAATATTTGGTACAATGTATATGTATATTTTCCCCCATACTATGAAAACCTAAAAGCATTTAAAAGCCTTGGTTTGGATACTGTGGCTGTATGCTTTAAAACTTTATACAAGGCTACTTCTTCATCTTAAATTCTTAAAGCACTCACTTATATAAGAGAATGGCCACTGGCATTGTGAATGGATTTTGATATTTGTCTTCAGTTTCTTCACAAAGAGTAGTGAGGTCATAGAGCTTCACTATATCACTGCCACTTGCTGGAAAGAAAAATAAGTAAGCCTCATTTTACAGCAGCCACCCAAATCATTTATTGTTCACTCAAAAATTATTTAATAGCCTACCTTTAAAGAGCCAATAGGTATGTCCTTCTTTGGTACAATTAGATTTCAAAAATGATAAAATATTCTGTGCAATGTCTTTTATGACTTTAGTAGAAAAATTAGAATTTTCCAAATTGGGAATTTCTTCTGTCTTTATCATTTCATATTTCTGTAAAACACAGACAGACGGAAGGCAGTTTAAGAGAAAACCCAAGGAAACAACACCTTTCTTTTTAAAAAGCAACCAAATACATAAGTCCTGCAAATAGAGACCTATGTAGCATGAAAGCATTTAAACCAGTGGTTTTTAATCTTTTTTCTTCTCCAACCTCCCAAAGGAATCTTATCCACCCCATCAGCAATGGCAGTTCACTATTGAGGTAATTCCAATGAGAATCACGACCAGATTTATAACCTCAGATTTAGGCATGATCTTTTTTTCTGTTTTCTTTTTTGAGACAGAGTCTTACTCTGTCACCAGGCTGGAGTGCAGTGGTGCAATCTTGGCTCACTGCAACCTACGCCTTCCGAGTTCAAGCGATTCTCCTGCCTCAGCCTCCCGAGTAGCTGTGACTACAGGCGCATGCCACCACGCCCAGCTAATTTTGGTATTTTTAGTAGAGATGGGGTTTCACCATGTTATCCAAATGGTCTCCATCTTTTGACCTTGTGATCTGCCCACCTCGGCCTCCCAAAGTGCTGGGATTACAGGTGGGAGCCACCGCGCCTGGCCTAGCCATGATCTTCTGTTCTAACATGGAACAAATCATATGGAATACTTTTACTCCACTTTCATTATTTTCAACTGGGAAGATGGTAAATGCAGGTAGACTTTACCCAGCAAGATTTAAAAAAATACGTATTTCTGGCCTTTTGTTTCGCTAGATACTAGAGTCAGTGGCTCAAGGAAAGAGAATCACTTGGGAAGTTTTTCTGGTAGACACTTCTCTTCCCTTCACCTGTGCAGCAGAGGGGTATGGAAGTGGCAGTAAAAGGAAAGGCCACATGGATATTACTACCACTATTTTAAAAGTGCTCGCTCATTTTTCTCCAGTTTGTCTTCTGCGCACTTTCCTAAACACCTCCTACCACATTTTCTGAAGTACTCTAAGACTAGAAACTTCAAATCAATTGGGATGTAAGACCAAATACAATCGTCTGAGATTGGTTTTCACCATTCTTTGTTCATCTGAAGCCCTCAATGTTGATTATTTCCTTCCTTAAACACTCCTTTCCCATATTTTAATCTGCACTATTCTTGTTCTCCTTCTCTCTCTCTAAATGTCCTTCTCTTTTTACCCCTATGGAGAGGGGCTCCAATGTTTGATTTGAATAGGTTCTCCTGGTGGTGAAATCTGACAGTATCTGGGCAGATGATGCTTCAATTTATTTCTGTAATGGCCAGGACTTCAAATGTTCACTGAACATTTTTATACTTTCCTCGAACTGAACATGTGATGAAAACGTATTACCTTCCCTGTCTAATCAATTCAACGTCCTTATCTCATTGAATGACACCACCATTATTCTAGTCCCTAAACCCTGGAATCCCCTTTGACTTCTCTTCCTCTCTGCCTCACTAATGCTTTATCTGCCTCTTTCTTTTCTCCTGCTCCCCACGCCCACCCAGCCCCATGCTAAATATTGCAATTTAGGGAGATGGTATAACAGTGGTTCTCAATCAAGACTGCAAACCAGAATCATATACCAGACTTTCTGAAAAGACAGAAGTACAGATCCTACTGATACTGGAACACTGGAAGCCCACGCAAGTACATTTTTCAAGAGGCCACAAGTGATTCTGATACACAACCAGGTTAAGAATCACTGGGTTGGAGTATAATGGTTCAAAGCATGTCCTCAGCCAGAGAGAGGCACAAATACTGGCACCACCACTCACTACTCATGAGACCCTGGGCAACTCACTTGAGCTCCTTGATCCTCAGTCTCTCTTTCCATCAAATAGGAATAACAGCATGTGAGGTAGCTAAGAAGATCAAATAAGGTAAAGCATTTAAAGCATTTAGCAAAGTGCTTGGATAAAAAAAGCACTCAATAAATGCTATCCATTCTTACCACTGTTGATTCTTAAAAGTTCCTCTCTAGTGGAAGTACATTATATTATTTGCAAAACGGTGCAATGCCTCTGGTTTTATTGCCTCTAAGTCCTCCTTGTCTGTCCTATATGTTATCTCCAAATTCATATTCTAACACAGTAAATTTCCCCTCCCAATGCAAGGACTGCACTGATTCCAGATTACCAACTGAACCAAGTCCATACTCCTCAGCTCAGCATTTAAGATCTCCATCATCTGACCATGACTTTTCCAACCTTATTTCCAGCTATTCTGCTACATAAATCCTGTGTTCCCTAACCAAATTTATTATCAATCCTTTCATATATTTACATTAGACTTTTAAAATCCAGCTCTTGTTTTTTTAGATACTAGCTATCATTCAGGACTCAGTTAAGATGCCTCGTCTTCCACAAAGTCTTTCTTCCAGACCTAAATGGAAGTGCTCACCCCTTTCTCTGATTATCTGGACTTATAATTCTTATCTGTCTCCTACTTTTCTCTCTGCACATTATTTTCCATTAGATTATCTCTTTCTGAGTAACAACCAAGTGTATTCTTTGTTTTCCTTCAACAATTATTTATTAAATTCTAAATTTTTTATTTTTTTGAGCCAGGGTCTCATTCTGTCACCCATACTGGAGTGCAGTGGCACAATCATAGCTCAGTGAAGCCTCAAACTCCTGGGCTCAAGTGATCCTCCAGCTTCAACCCCCCAAGTAGCTGGGATTACAGACGTGCAGCACCATGCCCAGCTAAGTGCGTGGGTTTTTTTCTAGTTAGGGTCTCACTGTGTTGCCCGGGTCAGTCTTGCACTCTCAGCCTCAAGTGATCCTCCTGCTTCAGTCTCCTGAGTAGCTGGGATTACATGCATAAGCCAACGTGCCTGGCTTCCCCCAACACTTATAATGGGGATAAAGTGTCTTGTAAATAAAATATGTTCAATAAGAATCTGCTACATAAGCTATCTACCATATGCAATTTTTACAAGACCTTTCCCCAAAACTTTGCATGTACTGAGTAGATATTTGCATAATGAAGAAATGCCTCCATTGTATAGACACTTTCAGTTAATTATAAATGAGTGCTTGATATTACAAATACAGGTTTTCATATATTTATGAACTTCCTCCAAATTACCTGTAAAATTACACTCCTATAACATCAAGAATTATGTTATCACCAACATAAATGTGAAAACACTTAAATTCAGTTTATTCACAGCTATCTTCCCTGCCAAAAATGCACCTTAGTACTTTAGGGCTGTAAAAACTTTGGTAAGGAACTCTCTGAACCAATCTGCATTTGAGAGATGAGAAAAATCACACTGTATCTTACCTGTACAATTCCATTTACATGAAAACACATCACAAGCTCTGGTACATTGCATATCAAGTTGTCCAACCAATAGTCAATTCCAGTTAGCACATTAATTGGCTTGTTGTTATCCCTAAAAATATACATTTCTAGTGTTATTTGGTTTAATTGAGATGTTCCTTAATGATTCATCTGAAACTTATTTCACCATTTAAGTATTTTAAGCTGTTCTCTCTAGACAGAAAATGCCATACAGGTTTTCTTTTCTGATAAGGTATGCACATGTAGCTCAGTGGTTGTGCTATATTTAACATCTTTCCAAAAGCCTGCTTGTATTTCTAACTGACATTGATAAGTTTTCAGTAATAGAAGAATATATGATAAGAAAGGACTGTGGGCCTACTGCCTGCTCCTAACACAACTTTAGTAACAACTGACTACCATATAAGACTATGCCTAAGCTAGAATTCGCACTGGCTAATGTCAACAAATACACGTAGAGCATTAAGAAAAATGCTTCCAAGCAGTCAGTAGGAAGCTCTCTAACTAATTAAATAAACTTGAATATTCTCACGAGTTGTAGATTTCGACCTAAGACTAGGCCAGTCCAACAAACCTCTGGCTCTATTCAATTAGGTCTAGAATGAAGATTCAGCTATTGGACTTTCAGCATTTGTTGACAGAAGCTCCTTCCTTAATGTGGCCATTTCAACTGGCAGGAGAAGGAGGGAGGTGAAAAAACCTAGAGCAAGAGAAAGATGCCCAACTAGACGGAACACTGATTCTGTTTTCTGAGACAAGAGTCTTGTCAACTGTCACCCAGGCTGGAGTGCAGTAGCACAATCTTGGCTCACTGCAACCTCAGCCTGATGGAACACTGGTTCTAAAGGAATAATTTAAATACAATAAACTGGAGGAGGGGTACAATGTTGGTTTACCTGAGACGTAAGCTGACTGCTGGGTATCTGCCTCCCCCGAATATGGGCATGTTGGAGCCCACCAACATATGGATATCTTCAAAGGTCCATAGAATATTCCGAACAAAATCATTTTTAAGACCCTGTGATTTAAAATAGGAAAGATTATAATAAACAGTCAATCTATACTTTCCCCCCATGATCTACAGAAAGACTAGAAAAAGGAAAAGACAAAGGAGACAAAGTCAGGTCCCAGAGCTGTAAGATCACAAAGATGTTTAGAAAGCAATTTTAGGACCAAGTGGATTTTTTCCCTATCAATTTCAACTTAGACTAGTTTTTAAATGACGAAGTAGACTGGGGATTTGGTGTCTCAAATTGGACGCCACGGAAAGCATACCTGACTGTGCTCCCCGTCATTGAATAAAGTAGTCAAGTTTTGTTCTTTGGGTGCTGAGGCCACATGCCCCACTATGTATGAGGGTTCAAGAGGCTCACTTCCCTGTGAAAAGTGCAAGGATAAGGAGTGATTCTGCTGTCAACACTTCTTAAAATTGACCTACTTTTGAAGAGCATCACCTAAAGATTCAAAGCACACACGTCAAATCTACCACTGTACATTAGGCCAATACAAATAATAACACTCGTCACTAGGTAGCTTGCTTTGGGTAATGATCCTACTATAGGAAGCTAATCACATTTAGATCTTACTCAAGTGAGACAGATTAAAGATTATTCTAAACTTTCAAAGTTTTTCATTCTTCTCTTTTTATGGTGCATCTGATTACCACTGCTTTTTCAGCTTACTCCATCTATCTTGAGTTTAAAAATTCCTAAGAAACTGGCCGGGCATGATGGCATGTGCTTGTAGTCCAGGCTGCTTGGGAGGTCGACATGGGAGGACTGCTTGAGCCCAGGACTTCGAATGCAGCCTGGGCAACATAGTGAGACTCTCTTTCTTAAAACAAAAAAAGAAATTCTAAGAAATATTCCTCCACCCACAGTTTGAGATACTCTATTATCTTAACAGCCTTCAATTTAGTATTTCCTGATGTGTGTTCCATAGAACACTAGTTCCTGGTATACTAAATGCAAATTTTCCAGTCAGGTTTGATAGATGGCATTTACCATCTACTCACGTTTGTGAAGTAACAATATTTATTGCTATTAAAACAATAAATATATATAATAAGCAATCCTACAACAGAAAAATCTACTTTACCTTAGTAAAAACCAATGTTTCCCAAATTTATTTAATCTCAGAACACTTTTTGGTCGTAAAATATTCTTTGGAATACTTTTTTTTTTTTTTTTTTTTGAGACAGAGTTGTACTTTGTTGCCCAGGCTGGAGTACAGTGATGCAATCTCAGCTCACTGCAACCTCTGCCTCCCAGGTTCAAGCAATTCTCCTTCCTCAGGCTTCTGAGTGGCTGGGATTACAGGCAACCACCACCACACATAGCTACTTTATTTTTAAATTTATTGTCAGTAGAAATGGGGTTTCACTGTGTTGGCCAGGCTGGTCTCAAACTCCTGGCCTCAAGTGATCCACCCACCTCGGCCTCCCAAAGTGCTGGGATTACAGGTGCGAGCCACCGTGCCTGGCCTGGAATACATTTTGGAATACACTTAGGAAGTGAGCCCTTTGACACTGGGTAAACTCAGTCCACTGCTCAATTTTCCAACCATTAGGAAAGCAGTACTGCCATTAAGAAATACTACTTTAAGCTTTTAATGTCAGTGCCTCAACGGAACCCAAGACAGGCATGTGTTTGCTGCTTATTCCACAAATGTCTCTTACTTGTCATCTGTGTGTGCCAATAGGCTTGGCACCTGCCTGGGACGTGTGTGTGACTGCAAGCACAGGTAGCTCTCTAGCACTTCCACTGTGCCTTGTCCTCTCCCCTTAGGAGTCCTAAAAGAACTTTCAATTATTTTTTTATTATTTGTTTACACAGACAAGTTATCAACTTCTGAACCAATTCTCAAAACACAGTGTGCCAGGCAGTTGCTTTAGTCAGAGTAAGAGCTCTAGGTTACGATGTTCTCAATAAATGTCTGGCTCTAAGGTCATTCCACAGGCACCTGTTTAACCTCTATAATTGCTTAACAAAGGCCTCAAACCAGCACTTTTAGTTTTTGGAACAAGAATTTGTGCAGAGATCGTTTGCAAATATAAACAAATCTCTAAAGCTGAAATGTAGGCAGTGTCATATAAGTGCTCCATAAGAGACTCTTATGGCAGGCTAGCTCTGGATAGGGATATACCACTGCTACAACGATCTGACTGCTGGTAGTGCCTTGCTAACTGTGGGTGGAGTACAGGGACACTGTGGAGTGCTGCTGGAGGAACAGGCCTCTGCAGGCAGAAAGATCTGGGTTTAAGCCCTAGCCTGAGAGTTTAACCAGCTGTATTTCCATGTGAAACATCTTTTTATGAGCTTTAGTTTATTTATTTGTAAACTGATACCATCAACATGTACAATATGCAGCTCCAAGGATGAAAAAAAAAAAAACTTATACAAACATACATATCAAAGTACATGGCATAAGAGCTATTAAATAAATGACAGTTTGCTTCCTCCACATGCAAGTCTACAGTACCCAAGTCTTCGAGAGGTTTCACGATAATTCCTAAACAAGGTAAAGCCAGAGTAACACTGGGAGAAGGGTGAGATGGGCAACAGGAGAGTGGTGTTTGTATGACGTAGTCTTTTTTCCCTTCTGAATCATAGAACACTCCTACTTCTTGGTTGTTACCACTATGTGACTTGCATATTAATTACTTCCTTCCTTTTCCTTACATTTTTCTCACTTTTGAAAAAAATTTAAATTCATTGTAGAGTTTTACGGGACACTTTCTCTATTTTAAACCAACTGAAACTAAAAATTGAGTGAAATGTATTTGCCGCCTATAATCTGTGAAAATTGAAACAATCTGGTTGAATAGTGTTCAATATGTGGGAACACACAGCAAGGGGGAAGACAATTTATCAAGTTACAGATCTTATTATCTATTTATCAATCTATTTTTTTGGAAACAGACATGCTACAATTTACATCTATGGTTTTATTTTATTCTTTGACAGACACAATAAGGACAAAGCTAAACAAGCAATAAGAAGAAACCAAGGGTGTAAGAGAGAAAACAGACAACACAGTCCATTCTCTATTCCTTTCTAAAAGTTTTACAACATGCAAGTGGACTAAGTCTCTGGAATTTTATCCAGAAAATCTTAGAGGGATATTCTAGGCCTAACAAGCTGACTAAAAGTTATGGCAAAAAGGTGAGAACTTAGATTACAAACAGGCTTCTGAGTCTCAATATTTGACAGGTTCTTCCTTAAAGTTAATTTCCTTAAAGTTAAGAATATGCTGTATCTCTGAATAATACTCAACACTTTAAGGAGATAATCATTGATAAACATATCAGTAAGCTATTATAAAATAGTTTGACTTAATAAAAAAGTCTGATCTACCCACTTATAATAGCTCTTGTAAATTCTATTGTAAAAACCTAAAAAGTATTTTTCCCATTCCATAAATTGATAGAAGTCTTTTCTGCCCCATTCCACTAAGTTAACAGAGTATTTCTTATTCCTGTTTTGTTTTTTTTTTTGACAAGATGTTAAAAAAGGCTTTGTCTTTCTAAGGGAATTTCCAGAATTAGCATTTAAGTACTAACCTGACTGGAAGCACTGGGATCTTCAGAAACTGAAGAAGGCATTTCGAAGGGAGCAGGCCATGAAGCCCCTTGAGAATCATTTGTCTGATCTGAACTGGAGGATTCCTGCTGTTCTGCGGTAGATGGGACAGGCTGAGCGGCTCCATCACCATTGATGCTGGCCAAAGCAGAAATAAAAAGAATCAGTTACTAAAGTTAACTTTATGCAACAGTCCACCAGTTTATAAAAACTACACTCTGTAATTAAGCATACATCTTACAAAAAAGAAATACGAACAAATCTTAACAATATCATAGGGCCAAAACTTAAATTATTACTTGTATAAACTTCAAACTAAATTTTAGATCAGAATTCCATTTTTTCTCTTTAAAGATAAACAAGTAGCCAAGTACCTGTAATATAAAAACTTGGAAAGAATTGCCTTTTGATACCAGTGTTCTTTGCTCTTTTTCTTCCTCTGCCACTTCTGATCAATCAGTCTTTGATAAAACTCTTTCAACCATGTCCAATCTCCAGTCTGGATAACATGAGATATACATAATACACACACGTAGTCAAAATAATGTTACCTAGCACTATTTTACAGAAAAGACTCCTTTTATTTTTTGAATACAGTTTCTCAAACACATACTCATTAAAAACTTATCTTTCTGGGTCAATTCATGCCACCTTTCTTTTGTTTTTTTGTTTTTTAAAGGAAACCCCAGTCTTCCTCTTCTCCTAAGCCAGGGTGGGACAGGTGAGTCTTCTCCGTAACATGTTCTTTAGCACCTAGAGTAGGTCCCGCTTTGCACACTATATTGAAATGATCTCTATATGTGTTCATAACCCCAAACAATGAACTGCTAAGGAGCAAGGCCTGTGATTTGTTCACTGCCACATCCCAAGAGCTTACCCAGTGCCTAGGCCCATACTCACACAATGAATGAAACTGTGGTCTTTTCAAAGGAAAGAGCCACCTATTTTCAATGTCATTTTAAATCACCATAACTTAATTTTCTTTATCAAAGCACTGTAGGAATATTCTTTAAAGACTATGAACGATTTCTTGCCAGCTGAAGGAAAGTACAGAAATGGAGAGTAATCCTTGAGACACCGTAATAACATTACCATATTTTTTCAAAAGTATCCATTCTCAACATGTAGGGAAAAACAGTCCTTTACCAACATGCAATTTGAGAATCTAGGCTAAAGACAATCAATTAACTCTAATAACTGTAGCCAAGCATCATTTAACAATCGGAATATATTCTGAGAAATGCATCATTAGGTGATTTTTGTCCTGGTGTGAACATCACAGAGTGTTACTTATAGAAACCTGGATGGTATAGCCTACTCCATACCTAGGTCATATCGTACAGCCTATTGCTCCTGGGCTACAAATCTGTACATGTGACTATACGGAATATCACAGGCAATTGTAACACCAGGGTATTTGTCTACCTAAATATTGCAAATATGTAAAAATAAGTATATTATAATCTTATGGGACCACTAGTTTATGTAGTCCATCACTGATTGAAATGTCTTTATGAACACATGACTGTATTCATAGGAACAGCTTTTAACATTTTTCACATTTTGTAAGAGCCATGTTTCATGAGAATCTGTTAAGGGAGACATCAAAGGATTTTTTAAATTTTAAACTAGTCCCTTAATTTTCAGAGATTTTTCACAACTTTCTTCATTGGCTTCATCTTTTTTTCTTGTAAGAAAGAATCTGGCTGTTGGTATCAATAAAATAATTTTCTTCACCATTCTCATTCTCTTCTTTTTTCTTCATTCAAGCTTTTCTATCTTCAGTGAAACTTTTCATTTCTCGATTGCTGAAATACTCAACTACATTTCAACTTTGGCCATTCTCTGAAACAAAATCCTTTTTCTAGTGCTCTTAAGTTGTTAAAGAATGTTTTTCTGGATTTTTTTCACAAAAGCATTACCTGAGACGATCTCATAAAGAGTTCCTGAATATCTAGTTCATCTAGTAGGAGCGTCCTTCCTATGCGGTGTACCGCCATGCTCACGTGGGATTTGCTGTAGGGAATTTTCAGGAGTTTTTTTATGTTCTTAAAAAATTAAGAGAAAAAAATAGTTAAGAAAGACTGCTTTAGTGTGATTTGGAATCTTTTAAATTTTAACTTCATTCATTTGAAAGCACAATAAAACTTATTTCCTTAAGGTTATACAAACGGAACTTTAAACCAAGAGGTACATGCAAACACATAGAGGACAGGGCTTTCAAACCATAATCACGTACACTTTGAGTCACCTTATATTAATGACAAACATCTATTTTTCCATGATAGAATTTCTTAAAGTTAAGGATGTATATGTCACACTGTTGTGCTGACCCAGACTTTAGGCATATAAGATAAAAGCCACTAAGGATCAATAGACTTTAACAGAAATATCATTTGTAACTTTCAACTGGTAACATATACAGAATAATCCCAAACATTATAATCAGTTTCAATTACTATCATTAAAATATAACCATCAGTATTAATATTATTACCACTGCCAGTGTTTGGGGATTGTTTCTTCCTCTTTAAATAAAGATGTGGTAAAGAATGGAAAAAAGATATTCGATAATCAGATAGTTTTATCTTATCTCATCATTAATTTCTCAAGACTTGCATGCTTATATCATGTAAAACACAGCACGATATAAAACACCTAGCACAAAACACCCCCAAAATTACAGTAAGCGACAAATAATACTTACTTCAGAGTCAGAGACAACATCTACATCATTTCCCACTGAATCAATGAAGTCATATGCCATGCCAAAGCTACCAAAGAGAAAAAAGGCTGCATGTTAAAACGTCATGCTCATAATCATGCAAGTTGAGTTTAATAACAATACTGTAGTTCACTGCTTCTAGGATACACATTTTTCCACATTTTAACAACTCTGAAATCAGGACCATTACAATTGGCAAGTTTTTTTTTTCTTAGTGGAACATAAAATAATGATGTGTCTTAAAGTCAGTGGCATCTTACATTTGATAAAACGTGGTAATAATCATTAGAAGCATCCAATAGGAAACATTTAAAATAAAAACAATTATTTTCAATTTTGTAATCACAAAACCCAAAAAGTCTCCAAGGGAAAATAGTGAGTTCAAGACTTTATTCTTTTTAGATAGAGAGCGAAGAAAAACAGAAACAGAAACATTTATCAGGATTTTACTTTCTGAGATTGTGTTTCTAGTGATATACCTCTTTTAAAAAATAGACATGAAAAACCTGACACCAATTCAGCCACGAAAGGAAATGAAAAAAAAAAAAAACAAAGTTACATCGAGCAGCCAACTGATGCCACGTACCATCTGAGGCACAGCTATTAGTCTACAACCCTGAAAGGGACCTGACATCACCATTTTCCAATTACTAAACGGCAGAGTCAAGACACTTAAAGGACCACCTAACCACAAAGCATGCTTTGTGATTTACCATATGCCTGAGCCAAATTATTTAGCTTCCATTTTCTCGGGTGCAAAATAATTAACAGTGCCTCTCTCAAAGAGTGGTGAGAATTAAATGAGATAAGCATATAAACTTGGCACAGCATTTGTATAGAGTCAATATAATTATTTAAATTTCCTCACACATTAAAGTATGTTAACAAATCATAATTGATTAAGCCATTCTTTTAAAAAATGATATTTGGGTTACTTCCAACTTTTTGATCCTATAAACGATGCTACAAACAAACAGCATTTTGCAAATATGACTTTTATCTTCTGAGGCATTAGGATCATTTCCAAACTACCAGCTTGTAAAGTAGTAGTGTATTTGTGCCTCTTGCTACAAGTTACATGGAAATATTTTAGATTGAGTAGCTGAGAAGGTGGGGGAGGGGAACCGCACACATTAGATAGCCTACAACAATATGAACAATAGTACATTTTTCTCTATAGGACCTCAGGCCACTCTCTCAACTTTAAATACCATCAGCAGAGGCCGGGCGCGGTGGCTCAAGCCTGTAATCCCAGCACTTTGGGAGGCCGAGGTGGGTGGATCACGAGGTCAAGAGATCGAGACCATCCTGGTCAACATGGTGAAACCCCGTCTCTACTAAAAATACAAAAAATTAGCTGGGCATGGCGACGCGTGCCTGTAATCCCAGCTACTCAGGAGGCTGAGGCAGGAGAATTGCCTGAACCTACGAGGCGGAGGTTGCGGTGAGCCGAGATCGCGCCATTGCACTCCAGCCTGGGTAACAAGAGCGAAACTCCGTCTCAAAAAATAAATAAATAAATAAATACCATCAGCAGAATTTCCAGTGTCAAAGTCAAGGTGTACGTCACCCAACATGATTTTTTTTTTTTTTTTGAGATGGAACCTTGCTCTGTCACCAGGCTGGAATGCAGTGGTGCAATGCCAGCTCACTGTAACCTCTGCCTCCCGGGTTCAAGCAATTCCCCTGCCTCAGCTCCCCAGTAGCTGAGATTACAGGTGTGTGCCACCATACCCAGCTAATATTTTGTATTTTAGTAGAGATGCGGTTTCACCATGTTGGACAGGATGGTCTCAATCTCCTGACTTTGTGGTCCACCTGCCTCGGCATCCCAAAGTGCTGAAATTATAGGCGTGAGCCACTGTGCCCGGCTAATACTGAGTTTTTAAATTTAGCCTTTCCAGATCAGACAACCCACCACCCTTTAATGAAAAACTTCACAGGAAAGATGAAGCAATGTTCAGGGTTTTCCTCCTCATGCACCAAGTTGATCCTTTGTATTCACATATTCAAAAAGTATCCAAATTGGCTAAAATGAAAGGGCTGATTGAATTTTGGCGGTCGAAACTCATCTTTGCTAATAACATGATGTAGACTTGAAAGCAGCATATGCAATTGATATTGTATGTACATCTTCATACTGTAACATCACCTATTATCAGGAGAATAAAAAGTCTTTGAAAATCAAATATGATCTTTCTCTAAAGAGAAATCTCGGCAAGTTAATGGGCATTACAAACTGAATTTAAAAGCATATAAGAGTTTTACATGAGGGTGGAGGGCAGGTAAAATTGCCACTGATTAATATTTACCTTGAAAATGGCTTGCTTTTCTTGCTGTTACCAAGAATTGTAGTTCCTGCTGGCCCTAGCTTGGCACTCTCTCGTAACCAGTTGGCAGGTGGGAGTTTCAAGTCTGTTTTCTCTTCAAGGCGTGCAAATGCTGTTCGAGGAGGGGCAGAAGAGTATTTCACCACAGCTCGGCTCTTCACTTCATTGCCTCCAAGAAATAAAGCTGATCCCTAATTAACATATTGGATGAAACTTTAATGAACATTACTAGGAAAGAAAAATCTCACCTTCATAAAAAGAAAACAAGAATCTGTCACACTAGGCTTCACAAGGAACATATGCCACATGTTACTAACAGCACTTAATAATTAATTCCAGCATAAATGGTAACACTTACTTAGTTCTTTTACACCAACTTCAAAGAAAAAAGATGAGTGAAGGAGTATGATGGTTATGGTTATCAGCTAGAAAATGGACCACCCACTCTATTTTTAAAATTTATTCATATAAAGTGGAGAGGCAGAAACCCAGAAGATTCAATGATGTTATGTTAACTAAGTGCAAACCTCAATAAAGCCTATTTTCAGTATTAAAGATGTATTATTATTATTATTATTATTATTTTGAGACACCGTCTCCCTTTGTCGCCCAGGCTGGAGTGCAGTAGAGCAATAAAGGCTCACTGTAACCTCCGTTTCCAGGGTTCAAGCAATTCTCTTGCCTTAGCCTCTCTAGTAGCTGGGACTACAGGAGTGCACTACCACGCCCGGCTAATTTTTGTATTTTTAGTCGAGACGGGGTTGCACCATGTTGGCCAGGCTGGTTTCAAACTCCCCGACTTCAGGTGATTCACCCACCTCAGCCTCCCAAAGTGCTGGGATTACAGGTGTGAGCCACCATGTCTGGCCAAAGATGTATTTTAATGTTAATAACACATCATTCATAAAGTAGTCTGGTAAAATATTTGGCCCTTTTTGATTTTAATGTAAATATTAGTAATTGATGCATCGGTTCATTTCGCAAATACTCTTGAGTCTCTGACTTCACAGCAAGGCACTGGGGGTTCGTTCCTCACAGCCTGCACCTGCACACTCCCAAGGCAAGTTCAGTGTCTGGGTTCAATATTCTAATCTTTCACGCAGTCCCTTTTCTGCCTGGCAAACATTTTGCACCTTCTGTGAATTAGTTCCGTCTCATTCTCGGAGAGTCACTCCCCGGCACCTTTTCTTCCCGCCAGCTTTGCAGGACTGTGCCACATTTTGGAACCGCATATTTACATGTACCTTCCTTGAGAGCAGAGATCGTGTCTAACTCACCTGTCGGCTACCAGGACTGCTTTTACAACGAATACCTGGCGAAAGGAACATGGACTTCCACTCCCTATTTCGGGGATGTCAGCGAAGCACAGGGAAGGCTCCAGAATCTGCCGGGAACCGAGGCATCTCTCCCGGGTGGAGCGGGTCCTCGGCTCGCGGACCTGGCAGGCTCCCCTCCGCGGAGGACTCACCTGTGCAGAAGGTTCCTCGGATTCTCCCTGTGACAGGAGGCTGAGCCCTCCTCGAGCGGCGGCCCCGGCCGGCGGCCCCTCGGCTCCGGCTTCCTTGAGATCCCCCATCATTTCGATCCAGGGCAGGCCAGACGAAGGGGGAGCGGAGGAGCAGCGACAGGAACTCGGGCCCAAGGCAGAGCAAGCGCCCCAGACTCTCCGTGGACCGCACTTCCGGTCTCTGCCAGGAAGAAGTAGCGGTGACGCTCCATTAAATCTCGCGATCTTTGTACATAGGCCCGGCCCAGCCTCCCGCTGCAGGTACCACCTTCTCGGCCGGGGCGGGAATTGTAGTGCGCCTGCGCTTGTTAGGACGTCTACGGGAGATCACTTCTCGCGGTACCTGACTTCTAGGCTCCGCCCCCTGCATGCCGCTCTCGAAATCTGACGCTCAGGCCCCACCCTCCGCACGTCTTTGTTGGCAAACAGTTCTGGGGGCTGCCGGAGGTCGCGGGTCGTCTCCGCGTGAGAAGGGAGGTGCCGAGGTCAGCGCCCCTGGTGGCTCCCGTTACGAGAATCAGCGAGGGGTTCCCGCTCTTCCTTCCCTAGGCTTCAGTGCCCCCTCGTTTCACAGGTGCGCCCCGAGGGCCCAGACTGGGAAGGGAGCCAGCCATCTCAGACTGGGCGCCCTGCTCGCCTTTCAGTGCCCGTGTGGCCCCGTCCTGCGTGTGGGAGCGGCGGGGCTTCCGGGAAGGGCGCTGGGACGCGCGGACGAGGCCCTTCGCGTTTAGGGAACGGGTGGCTTTCGGAGGCTCCTGGGGGCCCGTCATGCCCGCTGCTTGCAGGGCGTCCCGGGTGGTGCAGGGCCCCTGAGACGCTGCACCCGGGGCCTCGTAAGGCGTCATTCGGGCGCTCCGCATGGTCCTGAGACTCTGCATTTCTCCCAGGTTGCCGGGAAACCGTGCCAGCGCTTTGAGTAGCCGGGAGGTGGGGAATTAGCCGGGGCAGTTTGCAGGCTTTGAAAGTCCAGGCTCTCTGGCTCTCCCACTCCTCCGCGTCATCTCCAACAGTCAGCGCAGCCACATCCGTCACACAGTGCATGTTTTGTAGTAGAAGTGTTTTGTTGTGCCGTAAGATGCTGCAGTTTGGCTATGTCAATTTGGAATTCACATTTGCCTCTGATAACTCACTATCCTGTCGGTTTTCAGGAATGCTCCTGATGAGCAAACGTTCAACTGACAAATTGCTTTCAAATATAACAAAACGCTTTTATGAATTAAACAGTCAATTTGATATAATAGTTTGTAGACATTTACTTCAGCATGTATTAATTTTGATTTTTATCATTTTTTTTTTTGAATGTTGTAGCCAATAATTCCTTTTTTGGGTTTTGCAAGTTATACATTGTTTGTTATGGTGAAAAGTTGAGCACAGTATCTGACACTGGGAGGAGGATGGTCAAATCTGGTTTTGATACATAATAAACCCTGTGAAACCATAAACTTGTTTTTCAGGAATATTTAAGAACATTTAAATTGGATATCTTATAATGTTAAAAGATAAGTTTTTAAAAGCCAGTGTGCACTATGATCTTAATTTTAAAAAGTCTCTATTTCTGTGTCTGTGTCCACAAAAACAGATCTCTGAGTAGTAAAATGAAGCAATTTAAAATTTATTCTTTAACATTTTCTTTTCCTAGTTTTCTTTTTGATTATTTTATGTAATTTTATTAAGCTGTTACACACATACATAATTCAGCTTGTGATAATCTTTAAATTTTGTTGTTTTATTGTATAATTTTATCTTTGTAAGGAAAAAACAGAAGTGATTCTTTTCTCAGGACTCAAATATTTTGCATGCTTCTTGAGAAGTGAGTGCCTAGAAATGTGTTGATGATGCTTAGTGGGAAAATGTGCTGGAATTAGGCTTTGAAAAGACAAACAATGAAACACCTGGAAACTCAGTACAGAAACAGAGGTTGGCAGCACACAGAGAATAATGGTTGCTTAGAGTGTCAGGCCGAGGGGACCAGGGACCCTCAGGCCTGACTGTGGAGGAAAGCTGGAGTCGAGGTTGGGTCTCCTGCAGCCACAGACAGGACCAAGGTTACCGTACTGTAATTTAGTTTTTACTTAAAGGAGTGTGATCCCTGAGGGCTGGAGCAATTGGGCACATCTGGGTTACATAAAATTTCTATATGCCTCTTGCTCTAAGGGCTTATTATTTTTTTCTTTTTCCCTAGTCAAACACCTTAACACGCTGCTGGAGCTCATAGTGGTCAGGGAAATTTTTTTTTTTTTTTTTTTTTTGAGACGGAGTTTCGCTCTTGTTACCCAGGCTGGAGTGCAATGGCGCGATCTCGGCTCACTGCAACCTCCGCCTCCTGGGTTCAGGCAATTCTCCTGCCTCAGCCTCCTGAGTAGCTGGGGTTACAGGCACGTGCCACCATGCTCAGCTAATTTTTTGTGTTTTTTTGGTAGAGGCGGGGTTTCACCATGTTGACCAGGATGGTCTTGATCTCTTGACCTCGTGATCTACGCGCCTCGGCCTCCCAAAGTGCTGGGATTACAGGCTTGAGCCACCGTGCCCGGCCTTGGTCAGGGAAATTTTTAAAAATAAGTGGGGGAAAAAAACCTCTTTTACATGGCATAGCATTTTTTTAAAAAGTTATTGTCACTTTTTAATGTAGGAGATTGAAATATTTTGTGAGAAAACATGGAGGGTAAGTCATGACTTTTAGAATTTCAAGTTTTCAGACACTAGTTGATTTTCATTTTTATATTGTACCAGTGCCTGCCTGTTTCCTCCATCTCTGTCCTCCCACCCCAGGCCCCCATTTGGGATGTACTCCATCATCCATGGCCTGCTCTGCCTTGTCTGTGTAGTTATCCTGGCTCTTGTAACTACCCATGGCTCTCATGTGTTTATCTGCCTCTTAAGTGCCTGATGCCCTAGCTACTAAGAGTGTTTGAGGAATGAATGAGCAGCATGCTTGTTGTTTGCTGCTGCAGCTGCTTGTTCCATAGCTCCACATTTGCTGGTGCTTTCCTCTCCCTAAAATACCTTTTCCTTCTTCACCTGACTTCTCTCCTGGCACCTCCACCGCTTACCCTTCAGGGTCCCTTCCTTTGTTCCAATCGCTTGTATTGCTTTATCCTGCACTTGTCACATTATAGAAAAATTACCCATTTGTATCTTCCTGCCTCTCTGACTGTGAAGTCCTCCAAGGTTGGTGCCCTGTCTGATCACAGACGGCAGGTACAGCACCAGCAAACAGAACTGTTCCAGCCCTTAGGCAACGGAGGGAAAATGACTGGGGCTGACAGGCTTTTAAAATGCTCATCAAAATGTTTGAGACATAAAAACAATGTTGTTGGCAAATCAAAGCTAAAAATGTTTAAATGAAGTACAGGTATTGATCGACTTACGACCTATGCAAGTTATGACCATTCAACTTTACGACCACAATCGCTAGCCATGACTGCTCCGCGTCTGGCAGCACAAACGTTGCCCAGCTGGGCGTACAACAGTGCGGACCAGCTTCTGGCAGCACTACCATCTCCACGTGCACCATTTCAAGTGTACATATAGCCTACTCGACTTACGACCAAATTGTGTTACTACCGTTCCGCGGTCCCAGCCATGGTCATAAGTCGAGCACTACCTGTAGCTCCAAAATACTGCAATGTCAATGTTATTAATTATTAGTGTTAACTTTGTTCCATTCTAAAACGATTTGTAGATTAGACTCTCTTAGATAGCAAAACTCCTCCCAGCATGCACTGATTTCTGAGAAATCCCGGTCATTTGTAAATTCATGTAGTTGTTTGTGGCATTCAGCAAAATTAGAAATCCTTTCCAAACCTTTACAGCAAGACAATTATAAGGAAGGCAGATGTGGTTGGGGCTGCTGCTAAAAGTACAAGGGTCCAGGGTACTCTGGGTTCCTGTCTAGCTCCACTGGAAGAGCATGCCAAACTGGGAAACCTTCTAAACTCAGGGACCATTTGGGGAATATGCTTTTCAGTTTGTCATGGGCCTTTCCACAATCCGATGTCTTATTCCTAACCAGCTTCATTTGTTTACTTTCTGGACCTTAGAACGTTCTGAATTTCTAACTCCTGATTCTGGACTCTTAGAGCTGAAAGGAAGATTTCTGGTTGTCTAAGCCAATCTCTTTCCTCTTTAGCTGGGAGCAATGCAGTCCAGAAAGGAGAATAGGATTGACCTGTTGACCATCATACAAAAGTAGTTACAAAGTCAGGACTAGTACCCAGGTCTCCTACTTACTTAGCTTTCTAAAAAGTCAAATAGTAGACATAGGCTAGTGGAATTTGAAGTTGTCTCATAATCACTCAAGGAACTTGTTAAGCAAACAGATCCTCCAGCCACCTCCAGAATCTCATATCTCTGAGGTAGTGCTGATGAGTCTACGTTTTTAGTGCAATTGTTAGTTTCTGACAACCTTCTCCTATAGACTACACCTTAGGACAGTGGTCTCCAAAGACAATACCCTGGGACGTGGGAAGACTTAACTTTTTTTTTTAATTTGAAAAGTAAGGGCACAATTAAGCTTTAATAATATGTAATATACAGATTGACACAGGTGCCCTTCCTTGGGCCATGGTGAGCTGGTGCAAGTAAGATTGGGTTAGCTGACAAAACAAATGATCCCCAAGTGTCAGTGGCTTCCAACTATGGCAGCCAGAAAAAGAACAGGATGTGAAGTTAAATTGGAATTTCAGATAAACAGTGAAAAAGGTTTTCGGGTGAGAATGCCCCAAATACTTAGCATAAGTCAAAAGTATGTCCCATCTGATGAAGCACCACTACCAGTTACAGCAGCAGAGAGACAAAAAGACTGGTGCCTTGCGGACTAGCTCCAAAAGCTTTTGGTCAAAAGTGGCAGACACCACTGCCTTTCACCTTTTTTGGCCAAGTAAATCACATGGCCAAGCTAAGCATCCATGTGGCAGGGGAGACTGTGAACTCCAAGGAGGGATGTTGGTTATCTGTGACCATTATGCAGTCTACCACAGGCATATATGGTGGCTTGGATGGGCTATTCGATGCCATTCACAAGGCTAAATTTGGTGAAAAAACAAGGTAGCAGAATCCTTTCAGAGTTTTGTGATGAAGAATATCTTAGTCTGTTTTGTGTCACTATAACAGAATACCAGAGACTGGGTAATTTATTTAAAAGAAAAAAAAGGTTGATTTAGCTCATGGTTCTGCGGGCTGGGAGGTTCAAGCACATAGCTCTAGCTTCTGGTGAGAGGTTTCATGCTGCATCATAATATGGCAGAGAAGATCAATGGGTAAATGGACATGTGTAAGAGAGGCAAAACCAGAGGGGTTTTCTGACTTACAATAACCCACTCTTCCAGGAACTAACTAATTCCTGAGATAACTAATTCAGTCTTGCCAGAGCAAGAACTCACTGCCATGAGAACAGCACCAAGCCACCCAAGAGGACAGAGCCCTCATGACCTGAACTCCTCCCACTAGGCCCCGAACCCCAACACTACCACACTGGGATGAAATTTTAAAATTAGTTTTGGTGGGAACGTATACATGTCCAGACCACAGCAAGGAGTGACTTTGAAAATCTTGTCTCACAGCAAGATCACAGGTCATCAGTGGCAAAGCACTCAAAAGAACGGTCAAGCTTGAAAATGAGTTACCATGTTTTCTTTTACAGAGAGTGTTCTACGTTTTCTCATCTGTGATGACATGTAGCTGTCAGTAGGATGATACCCAGGAGAAAGTTTCACAGAAACAAACATGTAATCTGCTTCTTCAAAACAAAGGTGACGTTTTAACAATGAGTGGGAAAGCATTTTCTTTTCTTTTCTTTTTTGAGACAGTGTTTAGCTCTTATTGCCCAGTCTGGAGTGCAATGGTGTGATCTTGGCTCACTGCAATTTCCACTTCCCAGGTTCAAGCGATTCTCCTCCCTGAGCCTCCTGAGTATCTGGGACTATAGGTGCCTGCCACCAAGCCTGGCTAATTTTTGTTTTGTTTTGTTTTTGAGATGGAGTCTTGCTCTGTCACCAGGCTGGAGTGCAGTAGCCCAATCTCAGCTCACTGCAACCTCTCCCTCTTGGGTTCAAGCGATTCTTCCGCCTCAGCCTCCCGAGTAGCTGGAACCACAGGCACGTGCCACCATGCCTGGCTATTTTTGTATTTTTAGTATAGAAGGGGTTTCACTATGTTGGCCAGGTTGGTCTAGAACTCCTGACCTCAGGTGATCTACCCGCCTTGGCATTCCAAAGTTTTGGGATTACAGCCACCGTGCCTGGCCAGTATTTGGTTTTCAAAAGAGTCTTATGGAGAGCATTTTTGAAATAGATTGTTTGGAAATCTTTCCAACATTATGTGATTTTTGTCTCTAAAAATGATGTATATTGCTTATAAAAACTCATCTGCACACTTAACTTAGAAACTGAAATTTCTAACCTCTTTTAGAAATCTTCCAAATGGAGAGGTTGAGTTTTAAATATATTGAGGAATTCTAAGGAGGACAGTGGCGCAGTTCTGGCTTACTTACGGCATGTGAAGGGAAGAGGGCCAGCAGAGCTCGTCCAGAGGCAGCAAGCCTCATGCGTCCCTCAGCCACACCAGCAGGGGGTTCAGAAAATCTGTCCCCACTTAATTGTTTTCTTTGATACTAGTTGTCCTTCCCAGGACGCCCAGACTCTTTTATCAGCAGCCAACTGATTTCTTTACCCCAAAAATATGCCTGCAAGGTTCACAATTCCCAGGCTGCCAGCAGGTTTTTTCTCTCCTATCTGTTAAACAGCTGGTCTTGAACTCCCAACTTCAGGTAATCTGCCCGCCTTGGCCTCCAAAGTGCTTGGATTACAGGCGTGAGCCACTACGCCTGGCCGAAACATCCTGTTTTTAATTTTGTTCCATGACAACAGTCTATTGACCTTTCTTCCTCTTGTACAAGTAAACAAATTGCATATAAAACAACTAACTAAAAATCTCTGAGTTATTCCATGATACTGTTTGATTGCTTAGTTTAAAAAAAAGACTGATGGACTTCAAAGAAGATGGAAATGTAACTAATTACATTTCAGTTAAAGCCTGTACGTGATTTGTGCATACAATTGAAACGAGCGGTTTGATTTAGTAAACCCTGAGACCATGTAATTTCTTCAAGTAGGCTTGCTTATCTTTTGAGAGATTTTAAGTGATGACTGCCATTAAAACCACATTTTAAAATAAATTTAGCTTGGAAGGAGACCTCAAACTGTTAAACCGCAAAGTTTTCGAACAAAGGTTCTCAAAAATAAGCCATTCAGCAATTTTGCTCTCTTTTAAAAAATATTAATGAAAATAGAACTAATTTTCAGTCAATAAATTAAAATGTTACATTGTTTTCTATTTGTTGTATGTTTTTATGTCAATGTATTAGTGCCAGTGTATCATTTACAAATCAATAAATATGCATTATATTGGGCTTGCATGTTCAGAATTTTTTTTAAAAACATTTTTAAAGAGATCCCAGGCTGTACTTGAACTCCTTCCTGAGCCTACGTGATCCTCCTGCCTCAGCCTCCGCAGTAGGTAGGACGACAAGCGTGAGTCACTTTACTCAACCAGAAATGTTTTTAATAATGGTGGATGATGAAAACTGTTTATAGATCGTTGCTGCTAAAAAAGACTGTATTAGACACACTGTGATACCCAAAACCAAATGCTAGCTGCTTTTTAAGTCAAAAACAATTAGCCAGCTAATGATCTGTATTTTGCTTTACAGTGTAAGTTGACAAGAGTAGAAAAATGTGAAGGTATAAGACAATGCAAAATGTAGGGGCCCAGAAGGAAAGCTTCCCCTTTCACCCTCTGAAGGTGTGCTGAAAATGAACCGAAAAATGCAGATCAACAGGAGAAAAGGCGTGTGTTTATTTTAACATTCATGCCTTGGGGAATTGTAGAAGAGTGATGACCTGATCACCCAAAAAGGTCCAGATGCCCCTGTATCCTCTCTTCATAGCGAAGGGGGGATGAGGTGTGTAGGAGTAAATGGCAAAAGTTCCTCTGAGCTCTGGGGGAGGTGCTGGGTAGGTGAGGGATGAAACGTCACCTTGCACAAAGGTTGTCAGACCTGCCCTCAAGAGAATAGATGAAAATGTCTGGGTATAGTGACAACTCCGTCTCTTCTCTTCTTTCCTGGTCATTTGATGAGATTCCTAAAGTTGGGGGTCTTATGACAATTGCCTGTTTTTCCTTTTTTTTTTTTTTTTGGAAAGAAGCTTTGTTAGACAAGAAAATTGCAGAGTCCCTCCAGGTGCTTCTAGAACAGGCGTCCCCAAACTTTTTACACGGGGGGCCAGTTCACTGTCCCTCAGACTGTTGGAGGGCCGCCACATACTGTGTTCCTCTCACTGACCACCAATGAAAGAGGTGCCCCTTCCTCAAGTGCGGTGGGGGGGCCGGATAAATGGCCTCAGGGGGCCGCATGCAGCCCTCAGGCCGTAGTTTGAGGACGCCTGTTCTAGAAAGTGGATCAGAGAAAGGGTGGGGAAGGTCAGAAAGAGAACTTGGGTCTAAGGCTTATTTCTAAGGCCTTTTGATTTGCAAAGTACTCAGCATGCCAAAGCACTATATTTTGGGGAATCATTTTCTGCACCCCATCAAAACCTTGGTATGCATTTTTTCAGTGTAATCGCGAGATACCCTTGGTTATAGCTGTCCGATATTTAATCATTAATTGATAATTTAATTGCTGCTCTGTAGATTCATAACAAGCAGAGTATTTGAAGCTATTTGAAACTATTTCGACTGCATTTGAAGGAGTTTATTTTCTGGACACCTGATGAACTCAAATTCTTTTGCAAACTCTTAGCATTAACTTTCAGGATATATTGCAAGTGACTGTGAGGGCAGATTGTCTGCTAGAGGTTTTGCAACAGAATTTTTCTTAGAGTTTTTGTGAGTTTTCCTCTGAAGCTGATAAATGCCCTAAATGAGTTGTAGGAACAGTTTCAAAGTCACTAACGTCTGCTCTTCAGGCATGTTGGTGGCTGGAGCCCAGGCAGTTATTCATGCTGCATGTGCATCTTAAACTAAGGGTGAGAAGGAAGGAGTTTTCAAATGAACCTTCCAATCAATCTGATAGGGACTGCTTGTGAGTTCCCCTCCACCTTTTCAGTTGAGGGCCTGACCTTTGCAGACCCTAATGAGTCATTTAGCTATTAAACATTTAGAAGGAGGCTTCCAGTGGAGAGAACAAAAGGACAGCATTGCTTAATGCAAAAGCATCAAGTGTCAAAGCCACTGACTGGACCTTTTTACTAAACATTTCTCTAAACATTTGTCTTCCTCCAGGCATTGAAGAGAGATATATTTTACTTTCTTAGTGTAATGCAGTCACAAGGCACCCAGTAATAGAATCCATTGCTTGTGAACGTTGGGCAGGATGGTAACTACTGAATGAACCATGGGTGTCATCCACATATGACATTTTTTTTACATATTTATTTACATGTTTTTTTCTCTATAGGAAGTGGAGCCAGAATCCACAGATGTCATTATCCATCTGCAGCCTTCATTTACTACCCAGAAGGCAAGAATATTGCATTTTAGAATTGTCCAGACTTTTGTTCTTTCTTATCACAAGACTTGGGAAGCTCCGACCATTCGTGTTTACCCTGAGTGAAAGTCCCAGTCAAAGCCTTGCTTCCTGGAGGGCTTTGAGATTCTGGTACAAAAGGCATTTTATCAGCACAAAGTAGAAAAGCATCATTCATATTCATTTGCTGCTGTGGCATTTGTCCCTGGAATCTTCCTCTTGTCTGTCAACGTTGGGCCAAAGAACTGGCCTCATCTGCATTACAAATATTCTTTTAATGGTCTGGAGGTAGGAAAGGGACACGCAGCACAAGAGTGAGAAGGGAAACTCAAGCTCTCCTATTGGAGAGTCTCAGGCTTCTTTATCCATAAAACTGGTTGGACATAATTCGTGTGGGTTTATGATTTGTTCTGGAAAAACCTGAGTGTGAAATCAATACAGTGCTTTGTGCATCTTGGCTGCAATGAGTGTTTTTTATGTGATTGTAGGGAACCGTCGGAGAGGCGGCCATCCGGAGGGCTCTCTGCGGGGTCATTTAGAACACAACTGTCCTGGGCAGAGGATGGTCTGCACTGGCCCCCACCACACAGGAGGGCTTACAGAGTGGAGAAAGGTCCACTAACATGGCTTCTGTGAGGTGTGGGCAGTTCCTTTCTTGGTGTGGGGCTCTGGTGTGATGTAAGAGGTGTCAAGGGGTTTTTCTGTCCCTGAAGATCTTAGCAGATGACACTTGTGGAAGTTGCCAGCTGGATAAGGTGAGGTAGAGCACATGGCTCTACCTGAGGGGCTCCCATTCTCATTTGGGAATATTCTAGGACATAGGGCACGACCCAAGAGGCAGAGCCTGGAGTGGCACTGCATGGGCAAAAGATCTGAATGCCAGTTCCATGTAAGTGAGCAGGGGCCGGGCGGAGTTGAGGTGCTTAGAGAACAGGAGAGCTGCCACAGGAAGGGATGATACCCACAGGAAGGAAGGCCCATATCTCAGACCCCTTCCCTTATGCCGCTTCCTGGGACCTGCTTGGAGTCTGCAGACCAGCTGCTGCTTCTCCGTCTCCTGTCATCTTCTTCAAATCTTTTCATCACGAAAAATTTTCAGTGCAGACCTAAGTAGAGAGAACAGTAAAGGAACCCCCATGACCCATCCCCATTCTGTCTTCTCTACTTTCATCCTTGCTCCAGATTATTACCAAAAGTAGTTCATCCCTCGTTATATTTCATTTAATCCTCTCTGTTGCATTTTTTCTGGCCACTTTGCTTCTGTCTGTCAATCATTGTCTTAAGTCAGACAGTCTGCTGGGTTGTCTAGGAAAAGACTCAAAAGTTCTGAGAAATTTTGAGAGATGTTTAGATTGACCAAGCAAGGTATGCTTAATTTAGTTCAATTCAACAGTAACTTGCTGAGTCCTAGGCTCAGTGGTGGATTCAATGTATCAGTAAAACATGGTTTCTGGCCCACAGGAATCAGTGCTTTAGTTCTGGGTGTTGGACGAGGGCCTGTAGCAAGCATTCAGGAAAGACAGAATGTGATCACTGAGAAAGGAAAGGTACCAGGTGTGGTGGAGGTTCTAAGGCATGACAAACACACTGGGCTGGGAATGGGATCAGGAGGCGTCGTGAAGCCTGAGCATTGGAGAGGGGCTTGGAAACCTGGGCAGAGAGTGGCACAGTGACTGCAGACCACTTGACATGCAGTTGGCATGGCAGTGGGGACAGGGGACTTTAGCGGCTGGAACACATGGTGTGAGGGGCCTGTAGGGGACTGGGGGTGGGGGAGGTAGGCATGTGGGCTCTCAAAGAAACCCTTGGGCTTTTTCTAGGGTAATAGCAATTATTATTTCTAAGGAAAAAAAGAAAAACCACTGGCTTTCTAGAAGCATGGCTGTTAAAAAAAACAGCTCCAGACCCCAATTAGGAAACTGAAAGGAAATAAAAGTGAGCTTAATGGAAATTAGGTAGTAGGAGTAATAAAGGGAAATGCAAGTAGCTGCCTTAAATCCAGTGGACTCCAGCTTCACCAGCCAGGCAACATTTTGTTTTCACCTATAAATGAAGTGTGTCCAGGACTCTCACTACATAAAATGTAATTTAAGCTATCGTCCTTCTCTGCTGTGCTCTCAGAATATACTGATTTTGCCTCTGCCAGCAAAACAAATCTATAGACAGAAAATTCCTAGCACTGCTTTCATGCGAGGGATAACAAAGGTGACAGATGCTGGCAAAATGTTCACATTTATAAATGAAATGGAATGGTAACTTGATTTTCCAAAAGGATGAGGTTTTCATTATAGATGTAAGCATATTTATGAAAGAAAACTCAAACTGTAGTAAAATGTGAAAAGGCAAGGAAATTCATTGTCCCACTACCCAAATGACATTTTTTTTTTTTTTTTCAGAATTTTGGTGTTATACAATGATTTTGGAACATGCTTTTCATACTGAATGGCTTCAGTATTTTTTCCCTGCTCTCTTCCACTCCCTGTACCCCTTCATTATGTTTATCAATGAGTTTGGGCAATCGTATTGACTTTTTTAAGAGTCAGTTCTCTTTTGAACTCAGATTTCAGAAGGGGTGCAGGGAACCATCTTGATATAAGTAATGATATAAAGCTTATTCTCAGATACGTGTGAAACCGAAAACTGCTAACATTTGCAGAGCTTTGGGAAAACTACACATGGAGGTCTAAATAGCATATGTCTAAATAGTTAAAGTTTTTATAGATTAAGCTAACTCATTATTAAAGAAAATCTGTTCTAGCCTCCTTCCTTGATAAATATACCTTCATACCAGCTGCCCCTTGGAAGCTATTAAATATGTTATGTCCTCTTGCTTTCATTACAGCTGCCCCTTGGCCACCCCTCTGGGCTGGGGTGTCTACACCAAGTCCTCTTGGGACAGGCCCTAAAAGCAGGCTTGGAACCATTAGGGCCAGTTACCTGGAGCTTCAGGTGCACCTCTCTCCTCACCCTACGTGGGGATGGTGGTCAGAGGAGGGCCAGTGTGTAGCTTCAGCCTCATGGGCCCAGAGCAGGCACCCCTCTGGCTCTGGTCTGAGTGAATCATTCCATATTTCCTATGTACACGTCGTGTGCTGGGTGCCGGGACCTCAAAGGTGAGTAAAAACAGTCTAGTGGGACCACACAGACTTCCAAATAAGTGCCTCCTAAACTGTAAGTTTGCAACTCTGAGTTGACCCAGTCAGGAAAGTCGGGAGGAGGTAACTTTGCAAAGAAGAAAAGAGAATTTCAGGCAGAGAGAAAGTGTGGACAAAGTCTCAGCAGTGGTGGAGAGCACAGCCAGAGTGAGGCACAGAAGGCTAAGAGGACGTGGGGCTGAAGCCACCAGGAGCTCAGGCGTGAGTTGGGCTGGACAGGAAATGGGCACCAGGTCAGAAAGGGCCTTGCTAAGAGACTAGGTCCATCTGCAGTAGAAGACTTTTAGCCGGGGCCAGGAAAGGTACAAGGTGTGGTGGAGGTTACAAGGTGTGTTACAAGGAGTCACATGATCAGGAACAATAAGGCTAGATCAGACTAAGTCAGTCCAGGATGGACCTATTTTTTTCCTTTCTTTTCTTTTCTTTCTTTCTTTCATGTGTGTGCGTGTGTGTGTGTGTGTGTGTGTGTGTGTGCATATGTTTAAGAAAAGCGTGAAATATTTATTAGATACTCAAAGAAGTGTGAAATATGTAAATACCAAATAGACATTTGATAATATTAAATAATTAATGTTTTCGGATAACAGCATTGTGTGATTTTTAAAAACTTTTATTTTAGGTTTGGGTGTACATGTAAAGATTTGTTACACAGGTAAATGCATGTTACTGGGGTGTGTTGTACAGATTATTTCAGCACCCAGGTATTAAGCCCAGTACCCTGACATTTTCTGCTCCTCACCCTCCTACCCTCCCCTTCAAGTAGACCCCTGTGTCTGTCGTTTCCTTCTTTGTGTTCATAAGTTCTTATCATTTAGCTTCCACTTATAAGTGAGAACATGTGATATTTGGTTTTGTGTTCCTGCATTAATTTGCTGAGAATAATAATTTGCCTCCAGTGCCATCTGTGTTCCTGCAAAAGCCATAAGCTCATTCTTTTTTATGGCTGTATAGTACTACCATCTGTGGATATGTACCAGATTTAAAAATCCAATCTGCCATTGGTGGGCATTTAGGCTGATCCCATTAGACCTGATAATTTTTTGGAATAGTGGAGGAGAGGAGGAGATGGAGTGGCGCAGACAGGCTTCAGGGGGACGTAGAAAGTCAGATGACCAGGGCTTTGGGGGTGGATCGGGTTAGGGATGAGGATGAAAGTAGGTACGAGACATATATAGTTGGATGAACATGTATTAGTCTGTTTACACAGTGCTGTAAAGAATTGAGACTGGGTCATTTAAAAAGAAAAGAATTTTAATTGACACAGTTCTGCATGGCGAAGGAAGCCTCAGGAAACTTACAGTCATGGCAGAAGGCAAAGGGTAAGCAAGGCATGTCTTACATGGCAGCAGGAGAGTGGGGGAGGGGGAATGTCACACTTTAAAAGCCATTAGATCTCATGAGAACTCACTATCACAAGAACGGTATGAGAGAAACTGCCCTTTGATCCAGTCACCTTCTGCCAGGTCCCGCCCTTGATAGGTGGAGATTACAGTTCTAGATGAGATTTGGGTGGGGACACAAGAACAGTATGAGAGAAACTGCCCCTTTGATCCTGTCACCTTCTGCCAGGTCCCGCCCTTGATAGGTGGAGATTAGAATTCTAGATGAGATTTGGGTGGGGACACAGAGCCAAATTATGTCAAATGGAATGGATGAGCTGGGAACACTGAGACAGGTTGAGAGTTGAAGGCTGGGAAGGTCATGAGCTCGCTTTAGGACATGTGCATTTTGAGATACCTTTGGGACATCTGAGAGGGCAGTAAGTAGACATAAGCATGTACTGCCAAGCTATGAAAAGAGGTTGGGGCCAGGTGCAGCAGCTCATGCCTGTAATCCCAGCACTTTGGGAGGCTGAGGTGGTGGATCACTAGAGATCAGGAGTTCAAGACCAGCCTGGCCCACATGGTGAAACCCCATCTCTACTAAAACACAAAAATTAGCCAGGTGTGGTGGCATGCACCTGTAATCCCAGCTACTCGGGAGGCTGAGGCAGGAGAATCCCTTGAACCTGAGAGGTGGAGGTTGCAGTGAGCAGAGACCACACCACTGCACTCCAGCCTGGGTGACAGAGTGAGACTCACTCTCTCTCAAAAAAAAAAAAAAAAAAAAAAAGAGTTTGAGGCTGCAGATTTAAAATGTGTAGGAGGCATCCCCATGGGAGTTGGTGAGGTAAGCCATGGAGGTGATATCTGAGGAAAGGTACCTGCCTGCTTACCTGGTAGAAATGAAACAATCCAAGCTTTCCAATGCAAATGAGAACTTTAGAAATGAAATCACACAAGCAGTGAACTAAAATGAGAAAGGCAAACCTTCTAGCAACCTTGCATCTGACATTTGTCACTGTAAACAGGCCTGTCATACGCAAATCATTTGTATCCAAGGAGGACTGTGGATGAGTTGGTCACCCTGCACAGGTCTTTTTGTATCTGTGACTTTAAATCAGGATCTTGTTACTTGCACACCATTTTGTGGTGTGTATTTGTAAATATATCTTGCCAACATATTTTATGCTTCAGTTAATTTAGTTGACATCTAATTTAGTTGACATATAAAAATAAAATCAATTTTCAGACAAAATACCCATAAAATAAGTGAAATGCTATAATAGGTTTCAATAAATTAAAATGTAATATATTTAGGCTTCTGTTCTAAAGCAATTTCATCTAGAATAGCAGATATTGTAGATGTAATTTCTTTCTACAAATTCCTGTCAATTATATCATAATAAATGTTGCTACTATATATTCAGAAATGTATTGCTTGGAGTAGTTTGTCATAAAAAAATGAAAATTTTTGTTGGGGTTTTCTTTAAAATGCTGAAGAGCCTAAATATGAATACTTTATGTATTGATGTTCAGGCTGTAATTAAGCCATGACAATGATTATTACTTTGGATGTAAACACTATCAACATTTCATTGGGTGAGTTCTTTTTAAATTAATGTTGAGTTATGTTCTGTTTATTATCCTGTTTGCTTACGTTTCCCATCATTTTCCAGTTGTCTGCTTGAATTCTGTTTTTCGATAGTGATTTAGCAACTGATAATGTGTATTGATTTCAGTTTTGCTTCTAATTTACATTTTTATCTCTTTAGTTGATGTATTTGGCTTAATCATTTTATTATTATAAGCAGTTGTACAATTTGCTAATTTAGCTAGATGATTAAATTTTGCTTCTAAAGAGAGTTTGTTTTAGAAAATAGTCCCTGAAGGAAATTAGTGTTTGGCGTTTCCAACATGTCTAAGGAGCTGGTCTCTTAAAGATAACTAGAAATGTAGCTCTAAATTCTCGAAAGTGGTTTTGTAATTTCAAACCTCTGCCTATATGGAGCTGGATATTCCAGTAGGTGGTGCAAATCGACTCCATTTCAAATGGAAATGTAATTTAAACTTGTGATGTAACTGTTTTCACTGTAAAAATAATATTTCAACATGTTTCTCAGCTGTAAAATTATTTTCCTCTCTTCCTAAAGGAAGCTTGATTTACCTTCTCAATGCTCATTTTTCTTACGGTTTATTTCTCAGGTATCATTCTGATCATTGCTGTTACAGGAGGGATGAGAGGAAATTAGAGGGGCTAGAAGAACCAGAAGACCTGTTAAAACTCATGAATCCAAAGAAAAGTCATTTGCTTCTGTGCTTCAATTCCATAATAAAATGAGTATAATGTCAGTATCAGCGTTCTAATAGTTTTTATGTCCACATGATAAATTGAATGCCACGTTTTGTCTTTTGTAAAAATTGGGGTTTTTTTTACTTCTAGTAGTCTGATATCCTCACACAAGCACATAAAATATGTATACAAGGATACTCATGGCAGCATATTTTCAAAATTATTTTTGTTGTTTCATCTCAGTCCTATATGTGCACACGAGGCAGCAAAGTGGCATGAATTAAGAGCAGGGCCTCTGGGCAGCCTGCCTGCGACAGAGGCCTTTATCACACGGGGATCTCCGTTTCCTTTTCTGCAAAATGCAGATCCTCACAGGTACCACTACAGCATCGTGGCACTGATAGGAGGATTACATGGGCATATATGTAAGTGTGCAAAGCATGGCTGGCACGCCATAAGCAGCGTATCAATGTTAACTGCACCTCTAAAATCAAATTGCACTGAAAAGATTGCAGTGAAAGGCAGCATTCTCTTGCAGTCCTCCTCCAGCGCCAGGGATCACTTTCTGGTGGTAAGCACTCACAGCTCCTCTCTGCTGCTGATGGTCATCACCACAGCTTTAAATAGGATTCTTACACAGCAATTTTTACAACCACTTTAACTATTTTAGGTGTTTAATTAACTAACATTAAGCACATCTACAGTGTCATGCAATCATCACTACTATCCCTTCCCAGAATGCTTTCATCTTCATAAACAGAAACTTTGTCCACATTAACCAACAACTCCCCATTCCCCTTTCTCAGCAGTGCCTGGGAACCATTACTCCACTTTTTGTCGCTACGGAATTTGCCTATTTTAGGTATCTCATGTAAGTGGAATTGTACCATATTTGTCCTTTTAAGGGGCTTATTTCATTTAGCATAGCATCCTCAAGTTTCATCCACATTGTACAGAATTTCATTCCTTTTTAAGGTTGAATAATATTCTATTGTTTGCATATGTAACATGTTGTTTCTGTTCATCTGTCGTTGGACATTTAGTTTTCTTCTGCCTGTGGTGACTGAATAATGCTGCTATGAACATAGGTGTACAAATATCTATTCGTCTTTGTTTTGGGGCAGCTATCTTTTTGACGTATCTGTTCTTACATTATCTTTTTACTTCTAGGCATGGTGAATTAGATAGACAAGGACTTAATCATAATCAGCTCCCTGCCTTTCTGTATACACACTCCCCCTCCCCACTCTCACATAGCTTTGGTTAAAAAAACAGTGTTTTCTCTATTTAATGAAAGTCAAGGTGCTCTTACTTTTCCTGGGACAGAAGGGACCAGGGAGGAGATGGTGTTCCTGGAGCGGGGGGAGAAGCAGAGGGAAGCAGAGATGATGAGTGACTGTGCCCGGTGCCAGAGCCAAAAGGAAGCAGGGAAGAAAGATCCTGGCTTTCCCCTCCTTTCTCTGCTCCGTCTCCTACGGCTCAAGCCAACTTGAAAGCCAGAGGGCAAAGGCACCCAGGCCATGCGTCCACAGGGCCCAGGAGGTGAGAATGGACCAAGGAGGGGGGCCAAATGGAGCCCACCTGCACCCTTCCCTTCCTGAACTGCCCTCTCCATCGCCGGCTCCCTGCCAGCGCCCATGGCCCCTGCTGCCGGCAGGAGGACCCCTTCCCTGAGAGCAGCCTCGTTGTGCACGTGGACCTGGCAGGGAGGCTCACACACACCCGCACTCAGAACGAGCACAGAAGCTTCTCCCAAGGCCAAATAGAAATGGCTTTTGGATTACCCGCCATTTGGGAAGATTATCTGCACCACTGCTTCCGTCCATTACTGAGGAGAGCCAGGAGGTATCTGGACTGTCCTTGGTGTTCAGGGATGACCTTGTGGAGAGCTGATTACAGTCTCTGTGCGGAAACAGAAGACGCCTGCCTGCCATTCTTTCCCTCACTCTGGTTCAGCAACGCTTGATCTCTGGCCTGTGGCTGGCACCCATATTAAAGAGCCTGTCATTGCTTGTGGTTTTTCTTGGAAGATCAGAATTCAGACTACAGCAAGGCTTTTCCACCAGAGCTGTAGAGAATCCATATTTGCCTTTGAGCCTTCCAGGCTTCACTGTAGTACTTGAGACCCCTTCTCCAGAGCCCCCCGCTACCCTCATCCTGGCTACATGCCTCCTGGCCGTACTCCCACATCCCCAAACCACAGCTGCAGTGGTCTGAGCAGAAAAGAAAATGAGAGCGAGAGGCAGACTCCAAGGTCAGGACCTGCGAGAGTCGGGAGATATGCCATTGATTAGGGGTCTTCCTGGTGGGCTCCTTGGGTTTGCACAGAGACCATGTCCTCCGCCATAGCCTCTCGTGTCGCAAAGCCCTGACTCCAGGACTCACTCCAGCGCCTCTGAGCTGCACCCACCCCTAGCTCTAGTCCCACCCATTTCCTATGTCCTAGGCCCGTTTCTCCTTCTCTCTCCAGCCACCACTGCCTTCCCACACAGGCACTATTGTTTCTGGGTGAGAAGCTGGTGCATGAAAAGGTTAACAACTTGCCCAGTGTGGTGCATGTGATAAGCCACAGTGCTCAGGTGCAAAACCAGGCTGGCCACCGCCACAGCTTGTGCTTCTTACCTCAGGGCACCTCTGCCCCCAGACCATCCCTCCGTGGGTTCCTCAGGGCTTTTGCTGCTTACTTGCCTGCCCTTCCTTCCTTCCTTCCTTCCTTCCTTCCTTCCTTCCTTCCTTCCTTCCTTCCTTCATTTCTTCCTCCCTCCGTTCCTCCCCTCCCTTCTTCCTTCCCTATTCTTCTTTATTTTCCAAGTCTCCCTCTGTTGCCCAGGCTGGAGTGCATTGGTGTGGTCTCGGCTCACTGCAACATCTACCTCCCAGGTCCAAATGCTTCTTGTGCCTCAGCCTCCTGAGTAGCTGGGATTGCAGACATGCACCACTACAGCTGGCTATTTTTTTTATTTTTAGTAGAGACAGGGTTTCACCATGTTGGCCAAGCTGGTTTGAACTCCTGGCCTATGTGATCTGCCCACCTTGACCTTCCAAAGTGCTGAGATTACAGGCGTGAGCCACCGCACCCAGCCTGCTGCTTACCCTCTAAGTGTTGGGAAGTTTTTCTGCTGTCCACAGAAACAGTTAGGCATTAGCATCCAGGTGGGTTTGGTTTTCATGTGTGACTTATTATATAATAACAACAAATTATTTCTGTACATGCTTTTAAAAATCGTTTTACTGCACAGGAGATTGAGTTAAAACAGAGGCTAGCATTTTTTCAGACCAAAGAGCCCAAGTGCACTGAAATCCAGAAAACATGGTCAAGAAAGATGCAAGACGAGGATGCTGATTTTTTAACAGAAAAATAAACAATTGTTTATGAAAACTACTGATATGGGGACGATTAAGGGAATATACTGAATATGGAACTTCTCAATTTTATTCCATGAAATTGAATTGGTGGGGCCTCTGCCTTTTGCTTTTTCAAAGTTTTCATAACTTCTTTACCACGACTGTCACACCGTAAAGGGAGAACCTGGGCCCTGTGGGTAACAGATGAGCTGGTCTCGTCAACAGAAAGGAAGTTACACTTGGGACAAGAAGGGGTTGCTTGGTCCTTGCGGTGTGCATCTGCCCTGTGCCAGGTGGATGGAAAGTCGAAATTACAGGACGAGTGGTGGGGCTGTCGTGAAGGCCCCAGGATTTTCCAAAAGAAGTCCTTTTCCAGGAGGAGCAGATGGTGCTTTGGGGTGAGATCAAACCAGAAGTGGGTGGGATGGGGTTGGAGGGTCCGAAGGGACCAGGGAGCTGGAATTCCCCCTCTCCCCTCCCCACCCACATCGGGGCTCAGATTCCTTCCTGCTCTCCTGGGGACAGTCAATACCAGGAGACCCTGCCTTGCAGAGGCTAAGCAATAGAGGGCTGACAGCAGGGGTGGATCAGAAATATGGTGGGAGAGACGCACGTGGTCCCGGGCTTTGGAGGCTTTAACCCAGACTCTGGTAGGAGTCTCTGATCCTGGAGAGTGAAGCCTGTTTTTCTCTTTCCCTCTACCCTCCAGCGGCCCCATCTTTTCCTTTCCCACTGGAAAGAAACTTGCCCCGTATGGCACATCTCCATAGCGTCCTCTCCAGCTCAGCCTGGGGAGCCAACCTTTCTTTCCTTCCTAGCTTCTCCCTCAATCTTCATTCCCTCTTGACAGCAAGAAGGAAACTTCATTGGTTCATGTGCAGAAAGGTTCAGGGGTACTGCTGGGTTCAGGTGCAGGTTCAGCTCGAGTTCGCAGGACCCGAGACCCCTCAGCTCCTCCCACAGCCTTCTCTAAGAGTTGGCCTCATTCTCGAGGCATGGACGTGGGAAGGTGACAGCAGAAATGCCAGCTCATGTGCTTTTAGATTCAAATCTGTCAGGAAAGATTGAGATTCTCTGCCCAAATAAGAGTCTGGAACGGAGTTTAATTTGCTCTGATTTGGGTCGTGTACCCACTGCAGAAGCAAACATGACTGCCAGGGGAGTGAGCTGCTCTGATCGGTTGTATTGGAGCAAGGGCAGAATGAACTCTACCTAAGCCTTCTGGAATGACAGTGAGGGAGATGGAAAGGGAGTTATTGTTGGGAAAAGAGAGATGCTGGAAGCTGGAGAGGCGAGCCCCAAATGGCCTCCATGACCTCCATGCCCCCAGTTCCTCCTGCCTCCAAGTCCCTCATGACTGCCCTGTAAGTTCACGTCTGGCCCCTGCGACCCAACCCTGGTTTGGATCACTTGGCCAGTGTCCATGGTGTCTGCCCTAACCCCTCAGGGAAGAATCTACCAGGTGGTCTATTCACTATAAAAATTAGCACTGCATACTAAAGAAATCACGGCAAAAGCTCTCAATAATGGAGAGGATTTATATGTAACACACACACACACACACACACACACACACAGAGAGAGAGAGAGAGAGAGAGAGAGAGAGAGAGAGAGAGACAGACACACGCACTTTATTTCTTTTGGGTCTGATTCCTGAGGGTGGAAGGTTTGAAAATTTCATGACTGTGTTTAGAGGAACCCATAAAGACACTTC